TATAATTTGTAAACATTTTTTTTAAGTACATAATACAGTGGCCCCCCTTAAACGACCCCTCCAAATGCGCCAATTAGAAAGTGTATTTATGAAAGTGCGTTTGTACGTGTTTTTGGGGGTCTGAAAATGGACTAATCACTTCACAATATTCTTATGGGAAAAAATTTCGGCAGTACTGCACCTGAACATATACGGGAATAAAAAATTTTCTTAACCCGGGGGCCCCACTGATATAAAATAAAAAATTTCTACTGTAACTTATTTGTTTGGTCATGAAAATAAAAAAAAATTAAATTTCACAAAATCCACGTGCAAATTGTAGTTTTAATGTTTTATTTTTTCAATGTTTGTCATAGTGTATCGATCTGTAAATTGCGTGAACGAATTAAGTGGATTTTCATACTTTATACTCTGTCTGAAATTTTCAAAATTATTTGTTTTAACTGCATAGAGAAACCCATTAGTCCCCCCTAATATCGGGGTTTTAACCGAAAAGAAACAGGTTCCCAAAAAACTCCCTAAATAACAAATAACTTAACATGAAGAAACAACGAAAATTTTTTAGTCCTCATGGACAATTTACAAAGTCACAATAAATTGTCTTTTTAACTGACACTCAGAAATTTCCTATTACCCCTTATAAAAGGGTAACTCTAAGTACAGCTTCCTCATTAACGATGGATTTCGTTCCTAAGCCCACTTTGGTAAAAAATTCGTTGTAAGCAAGGAGCATACTATAATGGTAGGGGGTTTGTGTCATCCATCTTTGATAATGTTTTAATGTCGCCTTTGCACCATGTATAATATTTTTAGTATATTTTTAAATGTTTATAAGTAGTGTATGTATTTTGTTAATAAACAAAATAGGGGAAAAATCACTCAAATAATTATTTAGGTATGCATACTGGTCAGAGAGCTCGTCGTAAGTCCAAGTTGTCAGTAAACAAGTACATTTTGAGTATTAGTCTTGCCTGGTGGTCTAAAGGTAGACATACATCCTTAAAGCCCCTCAGGCAGTCCAGGACTTTCAACAAACACTTATCAACTTTTTGATAGTTCCGGGATCCTTCCCAAAGAATGGCGGTATTTTTAAACGACTTTGCTGAGGAAAAAAGCTTCCAAAAGACCAGTAGTTGTGAGGCGAGGCTGTAATGGGTTACAATGTTAGTCCCGTATCAAGGATAACTTTTTGATTACTAAAAAAAACGGTTACCATGAAATAAAACGTTTCCAAAAATACCCAAAGTGTCTTATTGGGGGATGTCATGAGTCCTTGTACGAGACGCCCTCCGGGGGAAAGACAGCGCCGGCTCCTCCAGGAGAGTGAGCCATCCGGGGAAAATTTTTAAGGGGGACATGTTTGACAGGCCGCTTTCATGCCATGTACACTTTCTTGGTTTTAAAGAGCACAAACCTGCAACACAGTTATGTTATTTTTATTTTTAAACACGCTGGTTTTTTCCATCGGGGGCAAAGTGACCTAAAAAAAAAAGAAACATTCATCATCACTCACTCCATCATGTCTTGCCAAAGGGGACGACACTAAGTTCAAAAAGTTTAAAAAAGTCTCCATCCCCTTTTAAAAGAAGAGTGCGCGGGCACAAAAAGGGAACACTTTCAAAATCTAGGGCCACAGATCACCAAAACATCGTACAAAAAGATATCAAAAAAAATATAAAAGGGGGACTTTAACCCTTTAAAAAGGGCAAACGATATTACGTTTTTTCAACATCTAAAGTATTAATAAAAATTTTGATCTTCTTTTTTTTTTTACTTTGAAAACGTGTAAAAAAAATTTATCTACTTTTTTTTTTTTATATTTGAAAATATGTAAAAAAAGTAGATCTACTTTTTTAGCTACGAAATTTTAAAGTTATTCTCTTTGGACCTTTTTAAAGGGTTAAAAAGTTGGGTATGTACACTCAGCTATTATATTCCTTTGTATACAAACATGGCCGGGGTTCGGTAGTAGTAAAACTCTCGAAACAATGTGAAAGTTTCTTCCTTGCGGATGCGCCAAAAAACATTTAACAGTCATTTCTCTGATGACTGATGCTGGTGAAGGACTCTTAATCCAGAGAATTGGAGCTATTCTTCCCATCCCTGGATCAAACTCGACTACCTCCACTCCCCAGGAGCTAAGTCACTGCTGTGAGTTTAGAGCTTTCCTCAATAATGTGACAAAAATAATCTCTTATTTATAAAATAATCCTCTATTACTGATGTAATAAAGTAAAAGGACACAAGTGCAACTAATGTGACATTTTATTGTGGCAACGTTTCGCTCTCCAGGAGCTTTATCAAGCCCTTTCAAACAAACATGGACAAGAGGGAATATAGGCCCGAGGAGGTGCAATATAGTGGTAGTAGTATAGTATATGAAAAAGTAGTGTAGTGGTAACAAATTGTTAGAACAATTAACTTGCCATGAGTAAAAGGATATAAAAGCTATTCTTGGGAAAAATAAAAAAAGGTTAGACAAATATTTCTATTGGAGGCTGATAGAGGCCTTTTTTCAGTGTTCATTCTCTGAAAGGCTTTTTGTATATTAACAGGAGAGATATGTGTGGCAGGGTTTACTGTTTTCAGGGGATTCTTACTAAGACTTCAAGGGTGGTAAAGTGCCTTTGTTTTTTTTAATTGTATTAGAAACAGTATTAGTGAGATTCAAAACCTTGCGTCTGCGGAAATTAGTTTTTTGTCACTATTGGGCGTCCCTGAAATTTATGAATGATGGTGGAATTTTGGGGGTTTTACACAGACGTTGTTCAAGTTATCATTCCTACATGCGTAAATGTGTTCATTGAGGCAAGTGTCGTGGTTTCTTGCTGTTTAACCTATATAAATCTTGTTGCAGCCTCCACAGGGTATAGTGTAAACCCCTGCGTTGACTGGTTCGTGGTGCTTGGATTTTGTTCTGGTTAGATCCTTTATCAAAGTGCTGGAAGCGATGGCGACTCTGGTGTTAGCTTGTGAAAGTACTTTAGAAACGTTCAGTGCAACCTGGCTGTTGGGAAGAATTCTAACTTTGTTGGGAGTGGTGTTGGTGCATGGAGAATTAATGATCTGAAGGGCTCTTTTCTTGCAGAACAAAATCCAAGCACCACGAACCAGTCAACGCAGGGATTTACACTATACCCTGTGGAGGCTGCGATAAGATTTATGTAGGTGAAACAGCAAGAAATCTCGACACCTACCTCAACGAACACATTTACGCATGTAGGAACGATAACTTGAACAACGCCTGTATACAACACCGAAATTACACCAATCATTTCACGAAGTTCAGGGACGCCCGACTAGTGATCAAAGAAACTAATTTCCGCAGACACAAGTGCCTTGAATCTTCACTAATAGCTGTTTCTAATACAATTAAACAAAACAAAGGCAGCTTTACCATCTCTGAAGTCTTAGCAAGAATCCTCCTGAAAACAGTAAACCCTGCCATCACATAGTCTCTCCTCTTAATACTACACAAGCACATTACAGAGAATGAACACTGAAACAAGCTGCCTCTATCCAGCCTCCAATAGAAATATTTGTCTAACCTATTTTTATGTTTCCCAAGTAATAGCTTTTATATCCTTTTACTCATGTGCAAGTTAATTGTTCTAACATATTGTGTTACTACTACTACTACTTATATCACTACTACTACTACTACTACCACTAGTATTGCACCTCACTCTGAGCCTATATATACCCTCTGTGTCCATGTATTGTTTGTAACGGCTTGATAAAGCTCCTGGAGAGCGAAACGTTGCCACAATAAAATGTCACATTAGTTGCACTTGTGTCCTTTTACTTTACATATTGTCGGTAATTCTACCAACTTTATTATATTGATGTAATAAAATAATCCTCTATTCACTTCATAAATAATCCCTCTATTCACTTCATAAATAATCCCTCTATTTACTTCATAAATAATCCCTCTATTCACTTCATAAATAATCCCTCTATTTACTTCATAAATAATCCCTCTATTCACTTCATAAATAATCCCTCTATTTACTTCATAAATAATCCCTCTATTTACTTCATAAATAATCCCTCTATTCACTTCATAAATAATCCCTCTATTCACTTCATAAATAATCCCTCTATTTACTTCATAAATAATCCCCTCTGTATTACTTAATATAATAATCTCTATCATAAATAATCCTGCTGTGCATATTTATTTTGTCTCCAGATGGGTTTCTCCAATTCCAGAAAATTATACATAACTGTAAGACAGTGAAAGAATGATGTTTAGTGTGATCTCCTCCTTGTGTCACCCTGAATTGGTGGATGACACCCTCAAGGTACAACCTCGGGTCATCCTGCCTTGGTGGATGACACCCTCAAGGTACAACCTTGGGTCATCCTGCCTTGGTGGATGACACCCTCAAGGTACAACCTCGGTCATCCTGCCTTGGTGGATGACACCCTCAAGGTACAACCTCGGGTCATCCTGCCTTGGTGGATGACACCCTCAAGGTACAACCTTGGGTCATCCTGCCTTGGTGGATGACACCCTCAAGGTACAACCTCGGGTCATCCTGCCTTGGTGGATGACACCCTCAAGGTACAACCTCGGGTCATCCTGCCTTGGTGGATGACACCCTCAAGATACAATCTTGGGTCACCCTGCCTTGGTGGATGACACCCTCAAGGTACAACCTTGGGTCATCCTGCCTTGGTGGATGACACCTTCAAGGTACAACTTTGGGTCACCCTTCCTTGGTGGATGACAGCCATCAAGGTAAGACCTTGGGTCACCCTGCTTTGGTGGATGACAGTCATCAAGGTAAGACCTCATGCCACCCTGCCATGGTGGATGACAGCCATCAAGGTAAGACCTTGGGTCACCTTGCCTTGGTGGATAACACTCTCAAGGTAAGAATATGAAGAACAGGAAGGTCCCCACATTTAGAGAGCCACGTTTTCGTTGGCTTTCAATTGAGTCGTTGTTCCACGTGCCAGAGACAATCGCCAGCACGTGGCACACAATGAATAATGGCTCAATTTGAAACCAAAAAAACATTAAACACAGAAAAGTGTTTTATACGTGAGGCTGTCCTGTAACAGCGTCTGCCACAACATACCTGAAATTGCCAACTTTCCGGCGTAGCTAAAGCAGGTGTTGTTGACAGCAAGGTGGTCTGGCATCAGGGTGAGGGTGAATGCCAGCAACATGTTATGTTTAGCGACCAGTAGAAGGTATTGGTCACTCGTCACGCAGGATAAACGCATATGGTTGATGTGCATTCTGTACAAATATCAAAATGAAGATAAGTGTATTATCCATGAGGAAGTGGAAGAGAAGCGACTAAAATGCAGGAAGCAAGGGGCTAGTAACATCTTCTGTATAAATTACTAAATGTAAAAAGAAAAACCTTACGTTTTTCTTTTCAGGTCACCCTGCCTTGGTGGGATGCAGCCAGTGTGTTGAAAAAAATATTAGTTTATTGTGTAAAGATGGGTATACAAAAATTTTTAACACTCCAGTCATCTCCCACTGAGATAGGATGACCCCAAAAAGAGGAAACACATTCACCATCATTCATTCTATCACTCTTGCCAGAAACGTCTCATGATTACGTATTATTATTTTTAACACATTGGCCATTTCCCACCAAAACAGAGTGACCCTAAAAAAAAAAGAAACACTTTCACCATCACTCACTCTGCCATTGTCTTGCCAGAGGCATGCATACACTACAGTTCAAAACTGAAAATATTTCCACCCCTCCTTCAGAGTGCAGACACTGTACTTCCCACCTCTACCCCTCCTTCAGAGTGCAGACACTATACTTCCCACCTCTACCCCTCCATCAGAGTGCAGACACTGTAATTCCCACCTCAACCCCTCCTTCAGAGTGCAGACACTATACTTCCCACCTCTACCACTCCTTCAGAGTGCAGACACTATACTTCCCACCTCAACCCCTCCTTCAGAGTGCAGACGCTGTACTTCCCATCTCAACCCCTCCTTCAGAGTGCAGACACTGTACTTCCCACCTCAACCCCTCCTTCAGAGTGCAGACACTGTAATTCCCACCTCAACCCCTCCTTCAGAGTGCAGACACTATACTTCCCACCTCTACCACTCCTTCAGAGTGCAGACACTGTACTTCCCACCTCAACCCCTCCTTCAGAGTGCAGACACTGTACTTCCCACCTCTACCCCTCCTTCAGAGTGCAGATGCTGTACTTCCCACCTCTACCACTCCTTCAGAGTGCAGACACTGTACTTCCCACCTCCACCCCTCCTTCAGAGTGCAGACACTGTACTTCCCACCTCAACCCCTCCTTCAGAGTGCAGACACTGTACTTCCCACCTCTACCCCTCCTTCAGAGTGCAGACACTATACTTCCCACCTCTACCCCTCCTTCAGAGTGCAGACACTATACTTCCCACCTCTACCCCTCCTTCAGAGTGCAGACACTGTACTTCCCACCTCTACCCCTCCTTCAGAGTGCAGACACTATACTTCCTACCTCTACCCCTCCTTCAGAGTGCAGACACTGTACTTCCCACCTCTACCCCTCCTTCAGAGTGCAGACACTGTACTTCCCACCTCAACCCCTCCTTCAGAGTGCAGACACTATACTTCCCACCTCTACCCCTCCTTCAGAGTGCAGACACTGTACTTCCCACCTCTACCCCTCCTTCAGAGTGCAGACACTATACTTCCCACCTCTACCCCTCCTTCAGAGTGCAGACACTGTACTTCCCATCTCCAAAACTCAAGTCCAGCTAATTGGTATCCCTGAATCCCTTCATAAACATTACCTTGCTCACACTCCAACAGCACATCAAATCACAAAAACCACTTGCCTGCACTCCTGTCTAATTTAACACCAGTAAACACAGAGTATTATAACTGGCAAAGAAAATACAACACATTTTAAATTCCTACACATTCATTTCCTATCTTGATACAAATGAAAATGAGGAAAACAGAAGATACACCAAACTTACCTGTCTTTGGTATCATAAACAAGACCCAAGTCCGTCAGAAGAACATCGTCTTCCTTGAACTGACAATAAAATATTTTCACCAGTCCACTAGTAGTGCCCGTGGTCAGGTACCCTAAAATATACAATACAATACAAGTTCAGATGAATATGATACACTGTTTATGCAGTAATGTATGACAGTTGAGTGCATGTTAGGTTAGGTTAGGTTAGGTTAGGTTAGGTTAGTTTAGGTTAGGTTAGGTTAGGTTAGGTTAGTTAAGGTAAGGTAAGGTAAGGTAAGGTTAGGCAAGGTTAGGTAAGGTAAGGTAAGGTAAGGTAACATCAGATTGATCAGGTAAGGTAAGGTTAGTCAGGAAATAGGACAAGTATTTCCTGATGCGGGTCTTAGTCATATGATGACCCACAGCTGGAGCTTTTAGTCATCTGACTGAGGCCTTCCACTGGCTTACTCCTCCAACACTTTTAAAATTATGGTTATGATTATAACTACTGAGTATATTCTAAATGCATGTTGAAAGTGGCAAGTTATGTAGATCATTACATACAAATTTAAGTCTAACTTAAGACTACAATGTCATATCATATATGTGATCATAAGAAGAATTTAGTTGAGTTATAGTCTAGTAAGTTTATAGGTACTATTCTGTACATTATATATTATAGGTACTATTCTGTACATTATATATTATAGGTACTATTCTGTACATTATATATTATAGGTACTATTCTGTACATTATATATTATAGGTACTATCTGTACATTATATATTATAGGTACTATTCTGTACATTATATATTATAGGTACTATTCTGTACATTATATATTATAGGTACTATTCTGTACATTATATATTATAGGTACTATTCTGTACATTATATATTATAGGTACTATTTTGTACATCAGATGACATTCAGTATAACTCTCAGTAACAACAGTCACATTTTTTTAATAGACCAGACGTCTCCCATGAAGGGAAGGTGGTCCCCCAAAAAAGGAACCACATTTACTCTGTCACCGTCTTGCCGGAAGTGTGTTGACACCACAGTTCAGACGATCATCACGACTACAAGTTTTTTGCTCCTCTAAAACACTAATCAGATTTATTCAGTCATACAGCAGCTTTATCTTATGCACAAGCAAAGGACCAGGGCTTGAACCAAGGACAAGTGGAAATACTGAGCGACTTTCGTTACACCTGACACCCTTGTTCACTGAGCACTAAGTAGGTACCTATGTTTTGTATACAGCCTCTCCTCACTTACAGTAGTGTACTGTATATTGTAATAAACAGAATAAAGGAAGGAAGCTCTAATATACATTATTCAGGTATGCACACTGGTCAGAGAGCCCGTCGTAAGTCCGAGTCGTCAGTAAACAAGTAGTATGTCACTAAGTGAGGAGAGGCTGTATAATGTGATTCTTTATTGACTACAGAGAGGCTGTATAATGTGATTCTTTATTGACTACGGAGAGGCTGTATAATGTAATTCTTTATTGACTACAGAGAGGCTGTATAATGTGATTCTTTATTGACTACGGAGAGGCTGTATAATGTGATTCTTTATTGACTATGGAGAGGCTGTATAATGTGATTCTTTATTGACTACGGAGAGGCTGTGTAATGTGATTCTTTATTGACTACGAAGAGGCTGTATAATGTGATTCTTTATTGACTACGGAGAGGCTGTATAATGTGATTCTTTATTGACTACATTTCACCCACACAGTGGGCATCATCAAGTTTCAAAAAGATTTGTTTCTGACCTGATTAAGCTAACTGTGGGGGTAAAATATAGTTAATAAGGGTAAAACAGTCAATAAAAAATGTATTACAGCTAGGGTTCGATTAGTGCGAATAATGAATCCTGTGGAGTGGTCGTATCATTCAAATTATATGCAATTTTTGTGCACGTTTTGAAGAGTTTTGGAAAAAACTAGCATTAATTAATTTTGCATTGATACGAAATTCGCACTACATCAACTAGCACAAATCAAGACCTAACTATATACCGCACTGTGTCTACATTAGACTGTAATATCTGCACTCTAAAGAGTGCACAGCTAAAGACAATACGTGCATTTTATTCTACAATTCACTCTACCTTTGTGAATAAATAATTCCATTTCAATATTAACTATTGCTTATGTCACACTGTGTTAAAAAAAAATTAAATGTTATAAAGAGTATATCAGAATATGCAAATAAAAAAAGTAACTAAATGCTGTCAGTAGTCTTAAGGTAGTCTTATGGCTGCCTGAAATGCTAGCGCACTCAGCTCACACACTGAGGTCGGGGTTCGAATCTCCTCTGGTACGGCTGAAAAACATTAGGGACGTGTGTCCGTAAGACACCTGCTCTCCCTGTCCCTGTTCACCCATCAGTTTAAAATGGGTACCTGGGTGTTAGTGGACTGGTGTGGGTCGCATCCCGAGACAAAACTGATCTAATTTGCGGGAAATGCTCAGCATAACAAGCGGCTTTCTATATGGTAGTATGTCATTGATGTCAGCTATGGTCTGGACATGTACTGGTAGTAAATAAAGATATTGCATTATACTTGAAAGAAACTTTGACATTTCTGCTTTCTCTCCATGGGGAAGTAGAACAGAATTCTTCCTCCATAAGCCATGAGTGTTGTAAGAGGCAACCAAAATGCCGGGAGCTAGGCGCTTGTAACACCTTCTCCTGTATGCATTACTAAATTTAAAAAGAGACACTTTTGTTTTTCTTTTTGGGTCACCCTGCCTCGGTGGGATGTGGCTGGTTCATTGAAAACATCCAAAACTGATTAGTATGAGAAAGGGTGTTCATAGTAGATCTTAATTATTTTAGAAAGCACTTCTTCAATTGCAACTACAAAAAATATCGCATTTAATAGATTTATGACAGTTTACTGTAATAAAACGAGACAAGCATCTTCACCTACCAGTTTTGTCGGTGACAACACACCAGTGTAGTGCTGAAATATGGTGCATATCAGTCTCCTTGACTGCCATGATTCTGACATCCTCTGCACCAGTGAAATTTGCTGGTATTCGCCAGAAGACTGCGTGGCCGCCTACCGTCATCACGATTAACATGCTACACTTGCCGTCCTCATCTTCGTGCACAGGGGTCCACTGAAACTCTGGTAATGTATAAAGTAGTGACTCTTAGCTGGGTTTATGTGGCGTATTACCGGCATAAATGAAGAAAATCCTCGGAGTAAAAGTTTATGGGGGAAAAATTTCTCTGTGCACAGTTTTATCAAGTCAAGTTTTGCTCTGTGTACTGCTTTATTAAGTCAAGTTTTGCTGTGTACAATTTTATCTCAAGTTTTGCTGTGTGTAGATCTTTATCTAGACCAAGAAAGGCTTCTTGTGATACGCGTCCTGTTACAAGTTGTCATGCAACGTAGTAATATAAAATACATCCTGTAACTGGGTTGGTAGAACACTCAGCTCACATAATGAGGTCCGTGGTTCAATCCACAGCATGGGTGGAAACACTGGGGGCGTATTTCTTTAAGACACCTGCTGTCACTGTTCACCTAGCAGTAAGTAGGTACCTATGTGTTAGTTGACTGGTGTGGGTCACATCCTGGAGGACAAAATTAACCTAAATTGCAGAAAATGCTCTGCGTAACCAGAGGCTTTCTATATAGTATGTCACTGACATCAGCTAGTACTGTATAAGTTGTATCATGTACCTGTAGAAATGAAGATGATTATTATTAATACAGCTTCTCCTCACTTAGCGGCGTACTCGTTTACCGACGACTTGGACTTGCAATGGGCTCTCTGACCAATATGCATACCTAAATAATGTATATTAGAGCTGATTTCCTCAATTCTGTTTATTACAATATACAGTATACTACTGTATAAACATTTAAAAATATACCAGAAATGTTATAAATGGTGCAAAGGTGACATTAAGACAATATCAAAGATTGTTGACACAAACCCACTATTATAACGTGCTTCTCACTTAGTGACGAATTCGTTTACTGATGTGGTCTTAGGAACAGAACTCCGTTGTTAAGTAAGGAGAGGCTGTATTATTATTATTTTTATTATTATTATGATTATTATTATTAGGTGTATCATTTTTTAGCTGTGGCTTCACACTGGGCTGTTACTGCAGAATCCTCAAAATTGGCCACAAAATATCACAGGAATGCAAACATATAAATCTAATTTTTCAGTTAGACTGAAACCTATGTACGTAAATGCAATTAATATTAATTTCTTTTCACCATGCCGGCCATCTCCCACCAAAGCAGAGTGACCGAAAACAAGGAAATACAGTGGACCCCGCTTAACAATCACCTCCCAATGCGACCAATTATTTAAGTGTATTTATGTAAGTGCGTTTGTACGTGCATGTTTGGGGGTCTGAAATGGACTAATCTACTTCACAATATTCCTTATGGGAACAAATTTGGTCAGTACTGGCACCTGAACATACTTCTGGAATGAAAAAATATCATTAACCGGGGGGACCACTGTACAGTGGACCCCCGGTTAACGATTTTAATCCGTGCAAGAGGGGTAATTGTTATGCGAAATAATCGTTATGCGAATGAATTTTCCCCATAAGAAATAATGGAAATAAAATTAATCCGTGCAAGACACCCAAAAGTATGAAAAAAAAAATTTTACCACATGAAATATACATTTTCCCACACACAAGAGAAGAGATACATGCACAATAGTAGAGTAGTACATGCACAGTATATATTGTGCATGTACTACTCTACTAAATGAAGAATAAATGACACTTACCTTATTGAAGATGCAGCAATGACTGATGAGACACTGTGTCCTGGGAGTGCCTTTTCTCCTGTAGTACTGTAGGTCCTGTTGGCATTTTCTTCTAGAACAGGCCTTATCACACTGTGTATGCCACTACGATTCTTAAACTCTCAAACAACCTTTGCTGGCTTTAAATTCACCAATATGAGCAACTAGTTCAGGCATTTTTCCCTGTTCACCTGGGTGTTTTGTCGACTTGTGTGGGTTGCATCCTGGGAGACAAGATTAAGGACCCAATGGAAATAAGTTAGACAGTCTTCGATGACACTGACTTTTTGGGTTATCCTGGGTGGCAAATCCTCTGGGGTTAATTGTTTCTTGGTATTCTCAATAAGCCACACCAACAACGGTGCTACAGCAGCAGCAGCAGCTGACAGTTGCAGCAGCAGCAGCAGCTGACAGTGCAGCAGCACAGCAGCTGTACCACAATAGTAGCGATGGTTGATTGGGTGTTTATTATACAACCTGGCCAGCTCAGAGACATGCACTCCACTTTCATACTTATCAATGATCTTTTTCTTCATCTCTATTGTAATTCTCACCCTTATTGCTGTAGGGTTGGCACTAGAAGCTTTCTTGGGGCCCATGGTCACTTATTTTCCAGAAAAAGCACCGAAAACACTGTAATAATACGAAATATTCCGATTGTATGCTTGGATGTTACCGCGGAGGCTGGCTGGTAAACAATGCCACCGGCGGAACATGTGAGCGTGGCTCAGGCCGCACATTGGACGCGTCTCGGACGAAAATCGGTAAGCGGGTTTTTAAGCGGTATGTGAGGCAAAATTTTTGCAATTAAAGTAAGCGGTATGCGAAATAATCGCTATGTGATGCCATCGTTATGCGGGGGTCCACTGTATTTCCACCATCATTCAGTCAGCATCCGTCTTGCCAGAAGAGTGAAGGTATCACTATTCCACACTGCAATATACTCAATCCTCCTTTATACTTCAGGTACTGTATAAAGAATAAATATAGAATAAAGAGTTTATTTCTTTGCAAAGGTTACAATGTGTAATTACAATTTTGATTTGTTAAGTGCAGAGAAAGCCACTATAATGCCGGGGCATTTCCTGCCTCCAGGACTAAGTCCAGCTGGAAAGAATAGTCACAATACCGTGACTGGAATGTTACACAAATAATCTGCACACAGAAGAAAAAAACTTCTGATGACATTTCAGTCTAATTAATGGTCCAAGTCAGACCAAAACGTTACCATATGTTTCTTTCTTCTATGTGTAGGCTGTGTGTAAGTCCAGCTAAATGGGTACCCCTGCATCCTTTCATGAATGTTACCTTGCTTGCATTTCAACAGCACATTAAACCAACAAAATAAAGCTAGTCTCCATTTGTCACGATTCATGAAATCGTAATAACACGACTGTAAACAAATCATGGTACGGGTGAGGTTAGAACCATGGTTCATTTGCAGTGTGTTATTACGATTTCGTAAGTCATGATGACAGCTTTGAGAGGACTTGAGCTGGAGTCTGTCATAGCCACGCTGGTGGAAGATTCATCTGTTAAAACTTGCATTTGTGGTCACAGTGGTGGCCCATGCTAACCTCCCTATGGTGTATAAATATACCTAGTTGGATGACTCTTACTGTAGCCATCTGGCCCAGTGGTTCATGCACTGCTGGAGTTTTACCACCCACTTGCCATGGTTTCTATTACAACCCAGGAATCCAAATGGCCTGTTATCCCGGGTGTAATGGGAGCAAAATAAACACAGCAGAAAAAGTTTAGACTTATATTATCCTTCACCAATTTAGAACAGCAATATGTACACTATGTACAGTGATAAGTATAGTGCACTCCACGGTAAGCAAGGCAGAAATAGAAGCCACAAGATAGCAGACCGTGCTTCAACCAGCTCTAGAATGGGAATGACAAGGGCAGACAGGAGAGCGGTACCCACATAACCTCTGCGATTGCCAAAACCATCTTCTTATTGGCTAGAACCTGGTCACTAGTTGAACGACGGGGCCCCATCATCAACTCTTAGCAACCTGGTTCGCTGGTTGGGGGAGATAGCCTGTAAATGAGGGTGTGTACATGCGCCGAATAAAGGTTACGTACTCTTTGCATGCCACAGTTTCAAACACCACCCATTCTGTGGTTTGTCTCCATTCACTCTGATCTAACATGCCCACACAAGTTTGTTGATGCCTAAACCCTATTAAGTAGGATTTCTTATGCAGTTAAATAGAGTTACATGTACAATAAGGTAGCTAATGAACTATTGGTACAATTTTAAAAGTATGATTTATTATTTCAAGCTGATTCAATGATATTCATTCAGTTTTGTTCGGTGATTGACTAGAGATGGTGAAGATATGGCAAATTACTTAGGTTTGTTGACACATCAGCCGTTTCCCACAGAGGCAGGGCGACTCGAAGAAGAAACGCTTTCACCATCACTCACTACATCACTGTCTTGCCAGAGGCATTCTGACACTAGCTTAAAAACTGCAACACATGTCTACCCTTCAGAATGCAGGCACTGTACTTCCCACCTCCAAGACTTAAGTCTGGCAAACAGGTTTCCATGAATTCCCTCATAAATGTTACCTTAGCTACAGTAACAATATAATGGGACAACATAAGAACATAAGAATGGAGGAACACTGCAGAAGGCCTACTGGTCGATACAAGTCAGGCCCTTATCAAAATGACCTCTACCTAAAAGATGAGTAATTATTTTTTAAGGGAGTTGGAGGAAGACTGGAAGAAGAACACTGATATCTTTCTTGTGTAACAACACAGGGAAAGTGAACACTGACCAGCAGTAGCCAACATGTGCATGCGAGCCGTGTATTTCTCCAGCTGGGAGGCGCCTGGTACTGACGAAACAGCCGCCCAGTTGTTGAAGGAGACATGTTGGTGCCACCGAGCAGAGACATCCCACAAAATCTCCCAATGTCGGCCATTTAAGCCAACGATGAACACTCTCTGGTCATGGGTTGCCAGGGTCAGCAGACACCTGCGGATAAACTCAGGTAAGTAATAGTAAACACATGTCAGTGAATAAAAGAAAAAATGGATGGAGACTCAAAACATGGTCCTAGCATGTAGCAGGCTGCACATAAATGGTATACAATACCAGCAAGATGAGGAATTAGACACATGTGCAACATCTGGGTATCTTCCAAGACTACGGTGATCTTCACCAACTCCATGGCTGAGGGACTGATTACTCCATCTTTTGTATATATTTCTTCACATTATGTCCGTGTACTGATAAAGCCACTGGTTGGCAAAACACCTACAAAGATAACCAGATGCTGCACGTGTCTAATTCCTCAAGTAGCAGGCTCGACACTGTGCCAAAGAGCTTCTTATTGTAAGCTTCATGGCTCATTGATACAGTCGTCGGACTGCTACCTCTCAGCACCACAGTTTGAGCCCTATATTTCTTCACGTCAATAAACCAATAGATGTTATTTAGCACACAGAGAATGAGAGGTAATTAGACTGTACGTAGACTACAGGTAGACTACAAGACTATAGGTAGACTAGGTACTTGAAGGATACCTAAAGGATGTTTTAAGGGGTCAATGGCCCCACAATCTGGTCCCAGACCAGGTAGTTTATGTAGTACACTGTTAGATATATTAAAATGTACTGCTTCATAACCTGTGCCAATTATGAGTAGCAATTACGGATTAGTCTGCCTGAAATGCCTAGACATGCTAGAGGCCATCCTCGTAATTAACATTTTAAAATACATAAACAACACATTGTAAGCTTTGAAAGAAAATAAACATTTATTATTATTATTATTATTATTATTATTATTATTATTATTATTATTATTATTATTTTTATATGGAGACAATTCACTTCTTCATAATCTGGTCCCAGACCAGGTAGTTTAGTATACTGTCATATAGTGACCATTCTCCTCCCCATAACCTGGTCCTAGACCAGGCAACTTACCTTCCCTGTAAACCAACACCGCAGGGAGACCACTCTCCCCGACGGTATCCCAGGTGATTGGTATCCCCTCCAGGCATAGCGGGTGAAGTGTTGCGCATGTTGCGAGGATCCTGCTCCGCCCTGACGCGCTGCGTCGATGACAGTATGTTGTCAAGCATCAATGCATGGCCACTGGTGCGCTCCACATGTATCACCAGGTTCTTGACGTCAATACCTGCTCAGGGGAAACGTGTGAATACCAGCTCAAGATACATCAATACCTGCTGAAGGATACATCAATACCTGCTGAAGGATACATCAATACCTGTATCACTGCAGTTACACAGGGTATATTATTATTATAATCAAAAAGAAGCATTAAACCTACAAGGGTTATACAGCACTACACAGTACAATACCTGTATCACTGTAGGGGGATGGCTCACTGGGTGGAGGGATGAAGGATCGACTGAACATCACTGCTGGGCTACATTCCTCCGGGCACAGTATCAGCTCCTGGGGATACCAATATACATACACACATAATACCCAAAGAGGAAGGTACGAGGGCACCAGATGCCCGACAAGACTCACCTGGGAAAGCAGTAACTCGGAGGACCAGGGTTTGATCCCTAGGATCAATATATGCATGCTTTTGGCTTTCTTTTGTGCCTAACACTAATTTGTTACACGTAAGGTACATTATGCAAATAACCCACACATAGGAGAAAAATACGATTATATTAGTTGTTAGCATGACTAGTGTTACTAGTTAGTGTAACTAGTTAGTGTGACTAGCTAGCCCTTAAACTGTCCAAACATAGATCTACGTCCACATGCGGGAGGCTCCGAACGTAGATCTACATTTTTTACATGCTTTCAAATGGGGAAAATCAAGGTTGGAGTGCTACACACGTGAACGTAGATCTACGTTTGGACAGTTTAAGGGTTAATGGTCCAAGTCAGACCGAAATGTCGTCACAAGTTTCTTTCTCCTATGCGTGGGTTATTTATGCATTATTCTAGTCATGGTACTGTGTTTTTGTTCTTCATAAACTATATTATTTTTGTACCACATAAAATCTGAATTTGACTGACTTTAGGCGAGTGGAACCATAGGGCATGTTTCCACACTCCTGTAGCTAGAATTCACCTAGAAAAACGTGAAAACTATATATCCATATTTTCGCTGTCACTACCATATCGAAAACAATATAATCTTATTCTTAATACAGTGGAACCTCGGCCCTCGAACTTAATTCTTTCCAGAAGGTTGTCCAAGTACTGTACGAATTTTTCCCAACCAGTTTTCTTTTTGGTTGACTTATCACTAATCTTCGTAGGCTCCATGTTGAGTTATTTATACAATATAAAAAAACACCAAAAAATGCAAAGAAACACAAAATAGTTTACAGCAAAGTTCTGGCAGGTCGTGTTTGTTTGGCTGAGTGCCAAGCAAACACGACTACCGAGCAAATGTCGACTACCGAGCAATTTTTTTACCAAAGCGTTCGAATACCGAATTGTTAAAGTGCCGAGATTCCACTGCATCTGTAATCCTCACAGCCATTAAAACATGGAATGTGCTCACATTATGTTAATATGCCATGTATAGTTTTCAGTGTGTAAGCATCAGTATTAGTCTGTCTGAAATACTCATGTATGTTAGTGGCTTTCTTTGTGTTTAAGAAAACATGTGGCCTGCAAGGTCACCGGACCTAACTGTTTGTGACTTCTTTCTTTGCAGGTACGTGAAGAGCACAGTTTATGTACCACCACCACCTGCAACCCTGGAGGAGCTGAAAATTTTGATCACTGAAGCAGTTCGCATGATAACTCCAGATATGCTGCAGAGCATCTGGACCGAACTGGACTATCACATCGATGTTTGCTAAGCAACCAGAGGGGTGCACATTAAGTGCCTTTAATGCTACCCTATACCACATGAAACTGAATGAAATCTTGCATCTGAAGCTACTAACTGTGAAAGATTATTACAGTAAAGTTACATATTATAACCGTTTGAAGTCAGGGAGTGTTTTTGTGGACACCCTCTATAATAACTGTACTTATGTGTACATGTAGATAGAGAGACAGAGATAGAGACAGACATAGAGATAGACAGAGGTATAGACAGAGATATAGACAGAGATACAGAGACAGATGCACAGACAGCCGAAGTCAGTCAGCCAGCCAGCCAGCCAGCCAACCAGCCAGCTGGCCAGCCAGCCAGCCAGCCAGCCAGCCAGCCAGCCAGCCTGCCAAATATGTATTACACGCTCCAGAATTGTTTCCCTTTGCTTAGGGCATAGGTTATAGGACATTCTGGCAGGATGACACTACCAGTGGTATCAAAAATGAAAGGATGTTGCACAAATGTTACACATGGGTTATTATCGAGGTTTTTGATATTTCCTCAACCACTTGTGGCCACATCCATCACTTTCCTCTTAAAAGGGAAGTGTTAATGCGACATGACATCAGTGAGTCCCTGGTGTTTGCCATGCTATTTGCTCTAGCTGGCGCTCAATTGAACTGGTGCTCCCACAAGGTACTAAGTGGTCCCAAATTTTTTTAATACTGTACACAATGAGTGTTAAGACCCATTCTATACTGACCAGGCATCTCTGGCCAATCATGCCAAATTTGGAGGCAGGAAAAATAAAACATAGATCTACTGACTTAAGAAATCGTAATGACACGATTGCAAATAAACCATACCCCGGCCGGATTGAACCCGCGGTCATAGAGTCTCAAAACTCCAGCCCGTCGCGACGGCTGGAGTTTTGAACTCTATGACCCGGGTTCAATCCCGGCCGGGGGTATGGTTTACATAGATCTACATTTGGACAGTTGGGTTAAGGGTCTTTTTTGCATGAATGCCTAAATGTCATTCACCTCTGTACAAACATTGTATCATGCTGAGATAATCTTAATCTTGGACAAATCAATGGAGATCCCATCTCTGGTACTAGGCTGTTGATTATTATTACAATTAAACCTAAGAACTATACCCATAAGGGTCACACAGCATAAGGCTGTTGAGCTAACATACTCGTCAATACAGCACTCGATTTAGAATGCTTCATTCATATGGCACTCTTCAATTATAATCATATTTATTTTTTTAGTACTCGCCTTGCTTCCAAGATGGTTTTTGCCAATTTTCAAAATACTACATTAAATTTTACCTTTGCATTGTTTTAAAGCCTAGTGCTACTGCACACTTAATAAATAATAGTGTAAATGTTTTTAGGCTTTTCTATGCCTACTAAAAAAATTGGCTGCCTCATATTAATAATAGAGTATGATAGTGGTTTTCTTTGTACCAATCAAATTATGTAAACATACATTGTAACTTCTGCAGAGAAATAAACTTTTGTTTTTTGTCTTGTTTTGTGATTCACTTTACGGCGATACCAGCTTTACGGCAAAGGTCTGGAACCTAACTAGCGGCATCAGTGAGGTGTGCCAGTACAATACTGTTGTCTCACAATCTTAATAATAAATAATACTATTAAAAATGCCAATAATAATTTTATTTGCAAATGAGAATACAAATTAAAAGACTGAGTTGGTCAATTTATTTTACATTTTCATAAGACCAAATTCTGAAAAGAGAATTTAGGACACAAGAGGGAGAAAAAAACTTTTCAGTAAGGCCTTTTAAAAAGCTTTCTTTATAGAATAGTGTGACATTTATGTTAATGCGACTGAAAAAAGCGGATCCAAAACTGAACAGTGTGTATTATAAACTTTTTTACAGGCGCTAATCAATTTTGGATATACGTACTTTTTCAATCGCAATTAAAAAAATAACACTATGTAAAGGGGTTTCATAAAGAAAGGTTACTGTACTGTACCTACTGTCCATATATCTCTCCATATATACTTACACAAAACATTATCGTATTCATGAGGAAGCACTAAAACCACAGGGGCAATACATCTCCTGGAGGAACAGGAAATAATCAGATTTGATCCAAGGGAAAGGCAGCTATAATTCCATGAATCAAGAGACCTTCACCAACATCAAGGCACATTCCCTTGCAGAGTGGTCGAGTGCACAATACACGAATCAAAATGGTGTACAGTAAGTCCTCGCTTATCATCGTTTTGTTATAACGACGGGAAACAAAATCAATCTCAGCCAGAGTCACTGTCTATGTAGAGATGGTAAAATAAAAATTTGTAAAGAATATGATAATCACACAAATGCATGACAATAAACGATGCGGTATTGCATTGTGGTAGGAGGTGCTCCTTACAATTTCTACTTTGCAAATATTTATGCCTTGATTTAACCCTTAAACGGTATAAACAGATCGACGTTCAAATTCGTAGCTACAAAAGTAGATCTACTTTTTTTTACATATTTTCAAATATAACAAAAAAAATGTAGATAAAAGTTTTTTTACACGTTTTCACATGTAAAACAAAAAAAAAAGATCTACATTTTTTACGTACTTTCAGATGTTGAAAAAAACGTATATATACGTTTGGACCATTTAAGGGTTAACCTTGTTGGAATGAGTGCTAAAGGTGCACTGTGCACCCCTGATGTCTATGGCCACAAAAAAACCACTGTGCACGACTCAAGAAATCGTAATGACACGATTGCAAATAAACCATACCCCCGGCCGGGATTGAACCCGCGGTCATAGTGGCTAACGCGACGGGCTGGAGTTTTGAGACTCTATGACCGCGGGTTCAATCCTGGCCGGGGGTATGGTCCACTGTGCACCCCTGATGTCTATGGCCACAAAAAAACCACTGTGCACCCCTGATGTCTATGGCCACAAAAAACCACTGTGCACCCCTGATGTCTATGGCCACAAAAAAAACCACTGTGCACCCCTGATGTCTATAGCCACAAAAAAAACCACTGTGCACCTCTGATGTCTATAGCCACAAAAAAAACCACTGTGCACCCCTGATGTCTATAGCCACAAAAAAAACCACTGTGCACCTCTGATGTCTATAGCCACAAAAAAACCACTGTGCACCCCTGATGTCTACGGCCACAAAAAAACCACTGTGCACCCCTGATGTCTACGGCCACAAAAAAACCACTGTGCACCCCTGATGTCTACGGCCACAAAAAAACCACTGTGCACCCCTGATGTCTATAGCCACAAAAAAACCACTGTGCACCCCTGATGTCTATAGCCACAAAAAAACCACTGTGCACCCCTGATGTCTATAGCCACAAAAAAAACCACTGTGCACCTCTGATGTCTATAGCCACAAAAAAACCACTGTGCACCCCTGATGTCTACGGCCACAAAAAAACCACTGTGCACCCCTGATGTCTACGGCCACAAAAAAACCACTGTGCACCCCTGATGTCTATAGCCACAAAAAAACCACTGTGCACCCCTGATGTCTATAGCCACAAAAAAACACTGTGCACCCCTGATGTCTATGGCCACAAAAAAAAAAAAAACTGTGCACCCCTGATGTCAGCTTCTGGGGTTGTGGATGCCCTACAAGGAGAAAATTATTTGCAACACTATTTCACTCTGTTTCGAGCTTCATCAAGCTCTACACAGACAAAATTGTATATGGCAATGTTTCATTCTGTTCAGAGCTTCATTAAGCTCTACAAACAAAATTGTTTGCAACAATGCCTCACTGTTTACAGCTTCATTAAGCACTACACAGACAAAAGTATCTCACCCCTTACTTCCTCTAACACACGCACTCTCAATGCAAACATCAAAACAAGCTTGGCTAATTTAAAAGTTCCGAATCTAATTCTTGCACAAATGATGGTGAATGTATTTCTTTCTTTTTTTTTTGGGGGGGGGGGGAGTCACCTCAACTTGGTGGGAGACAGATGATGCGGAAAAAAATGCATGGTTAACCATTCGCAGTTCTGAACTGACTGTAAAAAATGCAGCTTGATTTTCAATCAACAACAATTGAAGTTGCTTGAAAAATTAGCAAATTTATCGTTTTCTTCTATAGAACCTAAAACACGAGGAGAGAGAGAATATATTACAATAAACCTTCGATATAATGGACTTATAAGGAGAAGCCGACAACTGGTGAATATGACCATGGTGAAGTAATTATTTTATCTTAATTATAACAACTAATTATAACAATAACAGTCAATTCTGTAGCCAATGGATTTGTCTGTTTTTGAATCAAATGACCCAGTGGATTTTGTTCCGTATTTTCGAAGTACATTATATAAACATCTGTTTTATCCAGGGTACACTGTACATAAATTGTAGCAAAATGGTGCAATTATATCAACACAAAACTAAATAAAGGTGCCTTAAAAAATGGGAAAAAATCTTTATAAATCATCCAGAGAACAAACTATGAACAGCAAGCACAAGGGTTATTTAGGCTGCACATCACCTGTACACATCAGGAATATTTTAATCACTAAAGCAGTGTACTACAGGTCCTCCTCAACTTACAATGGTTTGACTTAAGATATTTTGACTTTACGATGGTGCAAAAAGAATTACTTTGGAGATGAAACTTACGATAATTACCCAGCATGAAGGCGGCAAGTCCCAACCTTGTATTTATTTATTTAGTTTTCAATATTGCTATTTGGTTAATTACAGAAATTATTTGTTTAATTATACAGTGACAGTAGCTGTTTATTTATTTAGCATGTCATATTCATATTCGACTCACGATAGTTTCGACTTAGGACGGGTTCGTCAAAACATAACCCATTGTTAGTTGAGGGGCACCTGTAATGTATACACACAGATATATGACTCAGTCTTCAGTCAGCTCTCATGTGAAGTTCCTCCGTACAATATAATTTTTTGTAAATGCGATTTGAAAAAGTACAGTGGACCCCTGGTTAACGATATTTTTTCATTCCAGAAGTATGTTCAGGTGCCAGTACTGACCGAATTTATTCCCATAAGGAATATTGTGAAGTAGATTAGTCCATTTCAGACCCCCAAACATACACGTACAAATGCATTTACATAAATACACTTACATAATTGGTCACATTGGGAGGTGATCGTTAAGCGAGGGTCCACTGTACACGTAAAATTAATTAACGTGTGGAAAGGCCTTCATATATGTGCTATTCAATTTATAATGCAAGATTTCAATTGCATTTATGAAAAATTTTACCAAATAGAGGCGTTTACTAAGTGCTGACTGTATACACAATGACAGATAAACATTTTTTAATATGAATAAACATAAGGATGGACAAGGGGTTTAATCCGCAGTCTGTAAATCAATAGTCCGATGCTGTGCTGTCTCAGCCACTGGGCTTCTAACAGAGAGGCATCAGAACTAATACTTACTGTACAGCGAGTCGTCGACTGACTAACACGTTGGGGACCTCCTGAATTGTGTATAATAATGATGATGCAGTGGTACCGCGGGATATGAACAGCTCAAAACTCGAACAATTATGTAAGTGTATTTATGTAAGTGCCTCTGTCAGTGTATTTTTGGGGGTTTGAAATGGATTAATCTGATTTGCATTATTCCTTATGGGAACAAATTCGTTTGGTATCGGCACATGAACAGCCTTCTGGAACAAAAAAAATTCCAATTCCGAGGTCCCACTGTATTATAATGATACATACACCCACCATCCGACTTACGACCTGCTCGACATATGACCATTCGATTTACGACCATGTTTTCTATGCCAAATTTTTGGGAAATAAGCAAGTGTTTGTGTTGTACACAGTGTTTATCCTAAACCTTACAGTATAAAATACAGTACTAACAGTATAAAAAGTAAAGCAAAATATGAAATACCCAAATAAAACAACAAAATAAAATCATTACAAAAATATGATGTTGATATTCAGTAGTAATATTCGACTTACGTCCATTTTGACTTACGACCAGTTGGTCGGAACCGAGCTCGGTTGTAAGTCGGATGGTACCTGTATATGCAACAATGTTATAATTATGATATTGGTATAAACCTTGGTAATAAATACCGACAAGTTGGTTTAGAAAGACACGTAAGCAAACACTATAACATATTTAGAAGTGATCAAGGTCCCAGGACCGAAACGTTTTCTAATAAATATGTTATAGTGTTTGCTTACGTGTCTTTCTAAACCAATTATGATATTATACACAATATAGAAGATTCTCAATATGTTTGTAAGTCGAGGAATTACTGTATTACATTGTCGGCGGCACCAACTGTAACCCAAATGAAATCCTCTTTTCAGCCCAGGAGCTTTAGCAGTAGATCAATTCTTGCCCCCTCAAGGCCACATCATCTATAAACTCAAAACAACCCTTAAACTGTTCAAACGTAGATCTACGTTCACGCGCGTACCGCTCCGAACATAGATCTACGTTTTTTACATGCTTTCAAATGGAGAAAATAAAGGTTGGAGCGCTACGCACATGAACGTAGATCTACGTTTCAACAGTTAAAGGGTTAAGTTGTAATATACAAGTCGATGAATAAACAGAAGAATCCTTTTCATTCATTGACAGCTGCTCATTACAACTTAACCCAAGTTCATTTCTTGATATATAAATCGTCTCACCCAGGACAAACCTTGTTAAGTTTAGAAATTACAAAGGCTGTCCAGAGCAAAATCTTTACAATAAATCTTGTCCTTTTGTGATTATCTGCAAATGTTTTTTTCTTTGGCCTCGGTATTAATTCTATAGACTACGAAGAGATCGTATAAATCAGCTTATCAAAATAATCTATAATTATCATAATCAGTTTTTAAATTCTCTCAATAAACAATATTATGCTATGCAAAAGCGTACATTTCTAACTTATATACATAATAAAGAAGTCGATTTGACTCCAATAATACTATTTTTTTTTTTTGGCTAGTCTATCAAGCACTAAACCCACATGGGGGTCCACCAGCATCAAATAAACAGATAAACAAATAAACAGGTGTCCCGTAGCTCGATCGCTAGCACACTCAGTTCACACACTGAGGTCAGGAGTTTGAATCCCCGGTACGGATAGATAACATTAGGACGTGTTTCCATAAGACACCTGCTATCCCTGTTCACCCATCAGTATAAAATAGGTACCTGGGTGTTAGTCGACTGGTGTGGGTCGCATCCTGGGACCAAATTGACCTAATTTGCGGGAAATGCTCTGCATAACAAGTGGCTTTTTATATAGTAGTATGTCATTGATGTCAGCTATGGTCTGTATACCTTGTACATGTACTTGTAGAAATAAAGATATTATTATTATATTATTATTATTATCACTGTTATGCAGCCATGACTGGGTTGAAACATGAACCCTCGGTTTAGCGGACTAACAGGGCAAAGCAGATGGTCAGTAATGGCAATTGTGTGAATAGAGGTAAGATTGTTTTGTACAGTGGACCCCCGCATAATGATATTATTTCAATCCAGAAGTCTGTTTGGGTGCCGTTATAGACCGAATTTGTTCCCTTAAGAAATATTGTGAATTAGATTAGTCCGTTTCCAGCCCCCAAAAATACACCTACAAAAGCACTTACAAAAATACACTTACGTAATTGGTCGAGTTGAGAGCTGATCGTTATGTGGGGATCAACTGTATATCAATGGTATACAATACCAACGTGATGACTTAGACACATGTGCAACAACCGGGTATCTTTACTTTGTAGATGTTTCATCATCCAGTGGCTTTTTTAATACAATACAAGGACATAATATGAAGACTGTAGAATTATATACATACAGCAGACAGTGTTTCAGTCCCTCAGGCTATGAGCAGGTGAAGAGCACAGTAGTCTTGAAGATTCTGAAGCATAAGCAGGAAGATTTATGTTTATATACTGATGTCAGAGGATGTGCAGCAGACGAAGATATTGTTACTGGTAGGCAGGATGCCCCAGTGGAAGTAGATCATGCCCAAGAGGAATAGGTAAGTAGGTTGTGGTGATGCCAACTGGCATCTTGATACAGAGGACATCACCACAACCTACTTACCTATTCCCGGTGCAACTTTTGGGAATCACCTACTTCCACTGGGGCATCCTGCCTACCAGTAACAATGTCCTCATCTGCTGCACATTCTCTGACTCCCGTTTACAAAACATCAATCTTCCTGCCTGCGCTTGAGTCTTCAAAACTAGGGTGCTCTTCACCTGCTCCTAGGCTGAGAAACTGATTACCTCATCTTCCACTGTCTGCTGTGTATAGTTCTACAGTCTTCACATTATGTCTTTGTATTGCATTAATAAAGCCACTGTGGGAAAAACATCTGCAAAGTAAAGATACCCAGATGTTGCACATGTGACACACGTTGTACATGTGCACATGTTGCACATGTGACACATGTTGCACATGTGACACATGTTGCACATGTGACACATGTTGCACAATGGACTTTGTTGTTTCTGAATCAACTGACCCAGCAGATTTTACCCTGTACAGTGGAACCTCAAAAATCGAACTGCTCCCAACACAACCAATTATGTAAGTGTATTTTTGTAAGTGCTTTTATAAGTGTATTTTTAAGGGTCTGAAATGGACTAATCTAATTTACATTACTGATGGGAATAAATTCATTCAGTAAAGGCACTCGAACAGACTTCTGGACCGAAGAAAGTTTGATATTTGAGGTTCCACTGTATTTCCAAAGTTCATTAAATCAAGATTCGATACATCGAGGGCTCAATCCACCAATAAAATGGATACCTTAATAACATGCTCCACATGACCTCTCAATTTTTTAACTAATCTTTCTTATTTATTATGCTTAATGACTATAATAACTTCCCGACCCTCCTCACAGCACTCACAGCCATGATCTAACATTACACAAGGTTCACATTTAAGGAAAAACGGTCGTTTTTCTTTTGAGGTCACCCAGCCTCAGCGGGGGGCGGCCGGTGTGTTCAAAAGCAAAAAAAAGTTTCGCATTTCTAATTTAGTGAAAGAGTTCCACATACCAGGTTTCTGCTTTAGTGAAACTTTCTGTGGCTCATAAAAACAGCATTTCTGTGATTCAATAAAAGATTTCTAAGTTTGCTCTTAATGCTGATTCAGGTTTACAATACATAGCAGTTTGTTAACCCGTAAACGGTCCAAACGTATATATACGTTTTTTCAACATTTGAAAGTATGTAAAAAAAGTAGATCTTCTTTTTGTTTTTTTACATTTGAAAATTTGTAAAAAAAACTTTGATCAACTTTTTTTTTTTTGTTATATTTTAAAATATGTAAAAAAACTTAGATGATCTGCTTGTGTAGCGCTACACATGTGAACGTAGATCTGCTTGTGTAGCGCTACACATGTGAACGTAGATCTGCTTGTGTAGCGCTACACATGTGAACGTAGATCTGCTTGTGTAGCGCTACACGTGAACGTAGATCTGCTTGTGTAGCGCTACACATGTGAACGTAGATCTGCTTGTGTAGCGCTACACATGTGAACGTAGATCTACTTGTGTAGCGCTACACATGTGAACGTAGATCTGCTTGTGTAGCGCTACACATGTGAACGTAGATCTGCTTGTGTAGCGCTACACATGTGAACGTAGATCTGCTTGGACCGTTTACGGGTTAATGAGGTTTAAGGCATATCAACTAAACAAGAGTCATTAAGAATACATAGCTCTCTCCTGTATAGTTACTGGATACTACACTGTAATGACTACAAAAACATACACTATAATAATGGTGCAACATTACACATCTCTGGCTTGTGCAGCTCATCTTTCAAATTAATCCAGATGAGAAAGACACAAAGATATTAATTGGTAATCTTATTCAGACAATAATTCGCCTGTACAAGTCAATGAAAAATACCTAGAGAAAAGTTATATAGAATGGCACAGGCCTATATATTCCCTCCTTATCCATCATACAAGTAAAATATCTGCATGACTTTTCCAATTAATGACTGTGTTTATCTTATCAATAAATGTAAAAGATAGAAGAAAACTACATACTGTATCTTCATTTTCGGGTCGCCCTGCCGCAGTGGGAGACGGCTGTTGTGTTAGAAAAAAAATTATGTGTTTATCTTCTACAATTTATCAATATTCTCATACTATCTCCTGTTAAGGTTTACAAATTAATATATTATTGATGTTACACAACACCGACAAGTTGACGAATAAGACACGTGCAACACCTGAGTATCTTCACTACCGATGTGTCCGCAGCATGCATTCATCTGAAGGAGCCTGATGGGCAGGTGAAACATTTTGAAAATAATGATTCCCAAGTATTCCACGTGTGTCTTAATTTAAAATTAATGTTCAATCATAAGTTGGATCCAAATGGCATACCATCAACAACAGTAAAGATGTTGAATGCTGCTTTTGATGACACATTTCACTCTGTGTAGAGCTTTGTCAAGCTTTGTCAAGCTCTACACAGAGTAAACAAATATAACCTTAATAATGGATTAAAGAAGTCGTTTGTGGCAAAATGCTTTCTCTAATAAATGTCCTGAACGGTGCATGTCTTTTTTCCACATAACCTTGTTCTACAACATGTCACTTTTCCTCACCACAAGTTCATGTCTGTTTAAGATTTTCCTAGAAGATTTACACTGCCTGACTAACTTTTATCTTCATGACTCATGAAATCGTAGTGACACGATTGCAAAAAACATACCATGGGCGGCTAGCCAGCTGGCCCAGTAGCTAGCATGTTGGTCTGGAGTTTTACGACTCTCTGATCACGGGTTCTATCCCCGCCCGTGGTATGGTTTAACTTTATCTTCTGTGGTCACGAGTTCACAATTACATGGCATCAAAGTGGAACTTGTGGGCATCCTGTTGCTTTTCTCTCTTATCTTGCTGCTTCTCTCGGTGGTGAAGAATGCCGATGATGGCAGCCACGAAGAGGCAGGTGCCGACGAGTGCCCCGGCAGTCATGAGCATGGCCTTGCTGGGGGTTATGAAGAGCTTGCTCACCCAGCGGTCAGGATATTCCATAGGATATGGGATCACAATCAACTGGGAGTTTGGGATGATCTGTGTGAAGCTGCTGGTCAGCGTCCGGGATATGTTTCCTTTCGGGATCCCAACTTCCATCACCTCTACAAAATTCCAGTTGCGCCCTAAACCAAACACGGTGTATGGGAGCTGAAGAGCATAGTGGGCACTCTGAGAGAGTTGAGTGGCTCTGGAGCGCTGAGTGCCTCCTGCCGCAGTAGTTATGGAGTACGTGATGGAAGGGCCGGGTTGGTTAGTGCCATAGGGTATTTTTAGCAGCTGACAGTCACTACCATAACATCTACCAGTAGGGATCAGTACCTAAGATGCAAGAAACATTTAACAAATATGTCACTGTAAATGCCTCTTAATACAGTATGATTATGTATGATTGTAAAGGAAAATCAACACAACATACAATTCCTTACAATATAATAAATTTACATAAATTTATAAAAGTTCTCCTCTAGGAATTAGCAAAATAATCATATTTTCATTCTCTTGCCTCATGAATTTAATCTTCTGACCATTTCCTGCCCTTATTAGCCTTTCTTTATCTATCAAATTTGAAGGTAAATACGAATCTTATTATGTTAAGCCTAAGGTTAAAACTTTTAGGATACTCACTTTGACAAAAACAGCATCATACTGGAGAGCATCCTTGTAGACGCTAAGGTGATATGTTCCATCCTCTGCCTTACAAACTAGAAGGACGTCCAGTGTGCCATCCTCCTCGAAGTCACAGAATGTGCCCAACACAGTGCTACCAAAGTCCTTGAACACGTCCCACTTGGGCACGAACTTCCGACTGTGCTTGCACTTGGAGTCCTGACACTCGACATTTTCCATCAGAACCACCTGAACTTTCTTGTCCAGTTTATCTGAATCACGAAGAGTAACGAGGAAGTCAGGGTAACCATCCAGATTAAAATCACCAAGACGCAGAGTGATTGTGTCGGTGTACCTGTAGGATTTGTCCGCCTCTGGAGGATAACCCCACGTTTTTCCTTTTGGGTCCATAAAATTAAGGTCTAGCTCCACCCAACCCGTTTCAAAGTCATAAACAAACACAGTACTGCTTTTGCACTGTTTATCTTTGCAAACTGGAACTATCACTTCAATATCTCCATTTAAGTCCACATCTGCAAATGATGCTTGGCCAATAATTTCCATTTCTTTCAATGGACTAATAGTCTTATCAAGAACGTAAATACCGTCTGAAACACTCCAGATCTCGAAGTGGTCCTTAGCAGTGACCCAGAGGTCAGAAGCTAGGTCACTGTCAAGATCAACAAATGCGTGCGAACTGGGTTGTTTAAGCCTAGGAAGAGTACCATTACGTCCTATCATTGGTTCAGCCTTCGGCGGCAGTCTGTCGGGGCCAAATATCCAAAATGTTCTGTTGTATGTCTCATCTTCCCCAAACAAATCTGGAATCATATCTCCATTAACGTCCATGACTAGCGGTTGTCCCGACACGTTCAGCAATGGCTCCAGTTCTGAGCCACACTCTAGTGTCAGATTACGTGTGTTTCCCCAGAGAACAAACACCTGGTAAAGCGGCGATACACTCTTGTTGAACGACACAAGGAGCACATCCATTTCGCCATTTCCATCAAAATCACCAGGCACTAGGCTCTTGATGTTGAGTGATTCGTAGGTACATGCTGGCGCAGTGCCAGACTCTAGCTCACGTAGAAGAGGCCTCTCATTATGAGAGATGAGCACCTTCATGGTTTTCCCATCTTCCGTGATCACGAACAAGTCTGTTAACTTATCCGAGTTGAAGTCACCGAAGGCTGCGGGCAAGTACTTGGCAGTGCCCCCAAAAACCAGATCAGTTATGTTGTCACCCGAAACTGATGACACAATCATAAAGAATAATATAAAATGACTTAATTTCAATTTATAGTCATCCATTTTGATCAAATTCATCTTCCCATGAGTGCACTTCAACTTTGTTCAAGGTTAAATGTACAACTTCACCAAGAATGAGTCATCCAATACAAGGTACACCAGCCTTTGTATTGTCTCACTAAAACTTCTCAGTCAATAACAGTTGTGAAGGAAGCAATGTCTGCTGATGAAGCAGAGATCTTTGTCTGCTCAGCTTGCCTGTGAAAGAAACACTGCATGAAAGAAATACCACATCAAGCCACAATAAGCTTTCTTAATACAGTGGAACAATGTGCCAAGTAGGCTAAGAGAAGCTAAGACCTTGGGTAGCTTTAAAGAGAGATTGGACAAATATATGAGTTAGAAGGACTGCTGGGTTTGATTAGTATCTGAGATACTGAAGCTAATTCTTGGGAACCTTTGGGAAAAGGCTGAACAAGTGGATGGGTAGAAATGGTTGGTTCTGAGTGAGACATGCCTAGTATGGGCCAGTAGGCCTGATGCAGTGTTCCTCCATTCTTATTTTTTTGTTTAAGTATGAATGCTAACATTCTTCAGCAGTGACAGTGTATTGTAACAATATAAGAAATGCAACAGTTACAGTTACATAATATATTTGAGAACGATGTTTTCCATCAACATTTAGAGCTGTGAAGAAAAACGACACAACAATTTGTTACGTATAGAGCTTTATCAAGTCGTGATAATGCTGTACACAGAGCAAAATCTTTAGCAATATAAGTTTTTTCTACAAGTGCCTTTTCTTCACTGTCATCAACAGTACAACATTTGGATCCACTTACAATATCCTATCAAAACAGAGACAAATTACAGCCTGAAAAAAACATTAATTTTTGTCATACTTTTTACATTGCTTGAGGGTTTTTTAAGCATTTTCAAAAAATGTAAATAAATTTATTAATACAATGAACCCTCGATATAACGGACCTCGATATAATGAACTTCTCAAACAAGACAAAATCCACCGGGTAAACTGTACTTTTAACAAATTTAATTTTAATGTTCATTGCAACACATCTGTAAACTGTTTGTACAGTACTATATTAGGTGTACAGTAGAGTACTGCTTTAGCACATTTTCTGATTTTTTTTAACATTAATCTGATTTAGTGGATATTTGGACAATAATCCCCTCCCCAGCCCCATTAGTCAGTTAAACTGAAGATTTACTTCTAAGATTTACTTCTACGATTTACTTCTAAGATTTACTTCGACGATTTACTTCTAAGATTTACTTCTATGATTTACTTCTAAGATTTTACTTCTAAGATTAGGTACAGGTACACACAAGTAAAATTATCATACACAGTATCAATTACCTACGATAATCCAAAAAAAGTCAAGACAAACTGACGTATTTCCGTTGGGGTCCTTGGTTTGAAAGTACGTATTGAGCACTCAACACCTGAAGATTTCGCTCTCAAATCTTAACCCTTAAACTATCCAAACGTAGATCTACGCTTTCACGCGTAGCGCTCCGACTTTGATTTTCCCCATAAGAGAGAATGTAAAAAAAAAAGTAGATCTACGTTCGGAGCGCTACACAAACGAACGTAGATTTACGTTTGGACAGCTTAAGGGTTAACCAAGAGATAAAAAGGGAATTAAATACACCTACCATCCAACTTACGACCTGCTCGACTTACGACCACTCGACTTACAACCGTGTTTTTTATGCCAAATTTCTGGGAAATAAACAAGTATTTGTCTTGTACACAGTGTTTATCCTAAACCTTACAGTACAAAATACAGTATTAACAGCATAAAAAGTAAAGTAAAACATGAAATACCAAAATAAAACAATAAAATAAAGTCATTACAAAAATGCTTTGTTGATATTCACTAGTAAAGTTCAACTTACGACCATTTCGACTTACGACCGGTTTCTCAGAACCGAACTCGGTCGTAAGTCGGATGGTAGGTGTAATATATAATGAGAAAGATGAAAGGCCAAAGAGAACGTTATTTACTGCTGCATTTTGCCCATCTTTGTCTTCTATTTTTTTCCCAGACAATTTAATTTTATAAATAAGGTTATGATTAGTAATGTAATCTGAACATACCTTCCTGGGATAAAAAATTGTCCGGAATAAACGGTTTAGAAAAACGAAAAGATGATAAATAAGACACTTGTGTAACACTCGGGAACCTTTATTCTGGTTACGTTTCATCAGCCAGCAGCTTCTTCAGTCCAATGCAGAGAAATGGTGGAAGATGAGGAGGAGTTTGGGGTAATCAGTCCCTCAGCCTGAGTCAATGTGTTCAGTCCATCAATCTTATACGACTGATGTACCACCCTTACTACAACCACTGCTAACACATAAGATAAGATTTTCTTTGGATTTTTAACCCCGGAGGGTTAGCCACCCAGGATAACCCAAGAAAGTCAGTGCGTCATCGAGGACTGTCTAACTTATTTCCATTGGGTCCTCAATCTTGTCCCCCAGGATGCGACCCACACCAGTCGACTAACACCCAGGATGCCACCCACACCAGTCATCTAACACCCAGGATGCAACCCACACCAGTCAACTAACACCCAGGATGCCACCCACACCAGTCAACTAACACCCAGGATGCAACCCACACCAGTCCACTAACACCCAGGATGCGACCCACACCAGTCAACTAACACCCAGGATGCAACCCACACCAGTCAACTAACACCCAGGATGCAACCCACACCAGTCAACTAACACCCAGGATGCAACCCACACCAGTCGACTAACACCCAGTCGACCCACACCAGTCGACTAACGACTCCGGGTAGTACACAAGTACAGTATCGCATAACGACGATTAAAGACAAAGTGCCACAACAGTACTCACGAAGACGTATGTGCCGAGCTGTGTTATGACGGCAATTTTGTTGTCCTCCGACCAACTTATCGGAGATCGCACCAGGATCGAGATGGCGATGGGAATACCTTGAACCAGTTGTCGTTTTTCTATTTTCTCCAGCATATTGTACCTGGAACAACAACGGAAAACAACGGAAGGTCATGAAAATACAACATGTGATGGAATACAACATGTGATAAAATACAATATGTGATAAAATACAATATGTGATAAAATACAATATGTGATAAAATACAACATGTGATAAAATACAATATGTGATAAAATACAATATGTGATAAAATACAATATGTGATAAAATACAATATGCGATAAAATACAATATGCGATAAAATACAATATGTGATGAAATACAATATGTGATGAAATACAATATGCCATAAAATACAATATGTGATAAAATACAATATGTGATAAAATACAATATGTGATAAAATACAATATGTGATAAAATACAATATGTGATGAAATACAATATGTGATAAAATACAATATGTGATAAAATACAATATGTGATAAAATACAATATGTGATAAAATACAACATGTGATAAAATACAATATGTGATAAAATACAATATGTGATAAAATACAATATGTGATAAAATACAATATGTGATAAAATACAATATGTGATAAAATACAATATGTGATAAAATACAATATGTGATAAAATACAATATGTGATAAAATACAATATGTGATGAAATACATGTGATAAAATACATGTGATAAAATACAACATGTGATATACAATATGTGATAAAATACAATATGTGATGAAATACAACATGTGATAAAATACAACATGTGATAAAATACAACATGTGATAAAATACATGTAATAAAATACAACATAAATGATAAAATACAACAGAAGATAATAAAAAATACAACACACCCGACATACAACGAACAACTTCAACTGAAGAGGAGGGACCAGGAGCTGTAAATCAACCCCAGCAGCCACAAATACGTGAGTAAATAAGTGAGTAGTGACGTATTAGTAAGTTTCTGTTGTTGGTTTATAAGGACCAGTGACGGCTTACTTACTTACTTATTTACTTACTTACTTACGTACTTACTTACTTACTTACTTACTTACTTACTTACTTACTTACTTACTTACTTACTTACTTACTTACTTACTTACTGACTTACTTACTTACTTACTTGCTTACTTATTTACTTACTTACTGACTTACCTACTTACTTACTTACTTACTTACTTACTTACTTACTTACTTACTTACTTACTTACTTACTGACTTACTTACTGTTACTTATTTACTTACTTATGACTTACTACTTACTTACATAGACTGTTACTAGTACGACATTACTTACTTATAGTACTATACTTAATAAGTAACAGTTACTTAATAAGTAACTAGTTACTTAATAAGTAACTAGTTACTTAATAAGTAACCAGTTACTTAATAAGTAACCTAGTTACTTAATAAGTAACCAGTTACTTAATAAGTAACCAGTTACTTAATAAGTAACCTAGTTACTTAATAAGTAACCAGTTACTTAATAAGTAACCTAGTTACTTAATAAGTAACCAGTTACTTAATAAGTAACCTAGTTACTTAATAAGTAACAAGTTACTTAATAAATAACCTAGTTACTTAATAAGCAAGCTAGTTACTTAATAAGTAAGCTAGTTACTTAATAAGTAACCTAGTTACTTAATAAGTAACCTAGTTACTTAATAAGTAAGCTAGTTACTTAATAAGTAACTTAGTTACTTAATAAGTAAGCTAGTTACTTAATAAGTAACTTAGTTACTTAAAAAGTAACCTAGTTACTTAATAAGTAAGCTAGTTACTTAATAATTAACTTTTACTTAATAAGTAAGCTAGTTACTTAATAAGTAACCTAGTTACTTAATAAGTAACCTTAGTTACTTAATAAGTAAGCTAGTTACTTAATAAGTAACTTAGTTACTTAATAAGTAAGCTAGTTACTTAATAAGTAACTTAGTTACTTAAAAAGTAACCTAGTTACTTAATAAGTAAGCTAGTTACTTAATAATTAACTTAATTACTTAATAAGTAAGCTAGTTACTTAATAAGTAAGCTAGTTACTTAATAAGCAAGTAAGCAAGCAAGCAAGTCACCTGTTCCTCAAAGGAGGTGATCCAGCTGAACTGAACAATTATAGACCTATGTCAAACCTGCCCCTACTTACTTACTTACTTACTTATCTAAAATCCTCGAAAAATTACTACACAAACAAGTCTACTCCTACTTAGTATCCCACAAAATACTCAACCTTTGTCAGTTTGGGTTCAGACCGAAAAGAAATATACTAATGATGCTATTATATATATGTTTGAACTAATATACTCTGCACTCGAGAAAAATTAATTTCCCCTGGGACTGTTTATAGACTCATGTAAAGCTTTTGATACGTTGACTATGACCTTTTTCACCAAAAACTTGAACATTGTGGGGTCAGAAGACACTCTCTCGATTACCTAAAATCTTATCTTAGCAATGGAACTCAGTATGTGTACGAATGGTATATAATACCGACAAGATGAGAGTAAGACACATGTGCAACATCTGGGTATCTTTATTGTAGACGTTTCGCCAACCAGTGGCTTTATCAATACAAATTCTAGGACATAGAATTTGTATTGATAAAGCCACTGGTTGGCGAAACGTCTACAATAAAGATACCCAGATGTTGCACATGTGTGGAACTCAGTATGTATACATAAATGGAGTCTGTTTCACTACACAACTTGTTCTTGTTGGAGTCCCTCAGGGGAGTGTCTTTGGCCCACTTCTGTTTCTCATTTATATCAATGACCTGACCAGCCGGGCTGTGGTTCGTACGTTGGATTGCGTGTAACCAGCAGTAATAGACTGGTTGATCAGGCCCTGATCCACCACGAGGCCTCGTCACGGGCCGCGGGGGCGTTGACCCCCAGAACTCTCTCTCCAGGTAAACTCCAGGTACCAAACGCATCTAATCTCCTTAAACACATTTTATTTGCAGATGACACAACTTATGTCTTCTCTCACCCAAACTCAACCATATTAACAGACACAGTTAGTTTAATATGTTTATTATGCACCCCAGACCCATCCTGTGGGCGGTGGTCACCCCAGACCCATCCTGTGGGCGGTAGTCACCCCAGACCCATCCTGTGGGCGGTAGTCACCCCAGACCCATCCTGTGGGCGGTAGTCACCCCAGATCCATCCTGTGGGCGGTAGTCACCCCAGACCCATCCTGTGGGCGGTAGTCACCCCAGATCCATCCTGTGGGCGGTAGTCACCCCAGACCCATCCTGTGGGCGGTAGTCAAAAGATTACAGAGGTACATAATGGGTCCAGGGACTGGACTCCAAAGTTTTGATAGCTGAGCAAGTTACAGAGGTAATGAACTCACAATTTACAAAGGTAATGAACTCCAGGTAGGTCTGGTCACAATCATGTCAAGTTACAAAGGTATTTACAGATTACAGAGGTACATAATGGGTCCAGGGACTGGGCCCCCAAAGTTTTGATAGCTGAGCAAGTTACAGAGGTAACGAACTCACAGGTTACAAAAGTAATGAATCCTGTAAGTATCGTTACTTACGTTTATACATGGCTACGATCATGAACAAATAATAGAGTAATGAGCAATTCACACTTCCACACCCGGTCACAACAGACACAGTAAATACTAAACTGCTAAAAATATCTGCTTGGATGATTACCAACAAACTTACTCTCAATAAAGACAAAACCTGCTTCATACTTTTTAGAAACAGCTTTAAATGGTTCACCTATCTCGAGAGAGACAGAGAGCAAATTTCTAGGTCTCCACCTTGACTGCAATCTCAAATTTCAGACAGAAATGCAACAAATTTCCAGGAAAGTCTCCAAAACAGAAGGCAACCTTTCAAAGATACGGTACTATGTACCCCAATCAGCTCTTAAGTAAGTAAGTAAGTAAGTTTATTCAGGTATACACAAATACAGTTACATAGAATTATCCTACATAGCAGCATATGTGTAGAGAACCTGGGATAACCCAAAAAAGTCAGACACAGTTACTTATTTCCACTGGGGTCTTCTAGCTTTGTACCTCACCTATGGTACTTGTGCATGGGGCTGACCCACAGCAAATCACCTTAAACCTTTAATAACCCAACAAAAGGCTGCAGTGCGATTGATTACTAACTCCTGCATTAGGCAACACACTCCACCTCTTTTCAATAGTCTTAACTTGCTAAATATGTATACAGAACATCCACACTTATCATTGTGGTTACTACATACACAGAACACTATACTCTAATGTAAACCCTCCTCGCAAACTCCTCCTTAATAACTATAACAGAACACAACCATAATACGAGACAGTGTTCATCTCTGTATACAAAAATTCTATGCACATGAAAGCCCCCTTGTTATGCTGAACCATTACCTTGTACCTAGTTCAGCCATCCAAACTTTGGGGCCCAGTCCCTGGATCCATTACGTACCTCTGTAATCTGTAAATACCTTTGTAACTTGTCATGATTGTGACTAGACCTACCTGGAGTTCATTACCTTTGTAATTTGTGAGTTCATTACCTTTGTAAATTGTGAATTCATTACCTCTGTAACTTGCTCAGCTATCAAAACTTTGGAGTCCAGTCCCTGGACCAATTATGTACCTCTGTAATCTTTTGACTACCGCCCACAGGATGGGTATGGGGTGCATAATAAACATATTAAACTAAACTATGCTGAACCTTTCTGGCAAATTAGGTCAGTGTCCCAGAATGCGACCCACACTAGTCGATTAACACCCAGGTACCTATTTTACTGCTAGGTGAATATAGACAACAGGTGGAAAGTAACACGTCCAATGTATCTACCCTGGCTGGGAATCGAACCCGGACACTCGCCGTGTGAAACCAGACCTTTACCCACCAGATTATTATTATAATAAGAAAAAGAAGCGCTAAACCACAAGGGCTATACAGCACCCAGGCCACCAGAGGATTACCAACAGGGGGATTACCAACAGACCCCTGGCAGTCTTCAAGCTGGCACTGGACAAGCACCTAAAGTCGGTACCTGACCAGCCGGGCTGTGGCTCGTACGTTGGTTTGCGTGCAGCCAGCAGCAACAGCCTGGATGATCAGGCTCTGATCCACCAGGAGGCCTGGTCACAGACCGAGCCGCGGGGGCGTTGACCCCCGGAACTCCAGGTAAACTCCAGAGCCCCTGATAAGAAATCACCTCATCACCCAAAATTAACCAGACACACCGTACCTGATCACTACCAGTTCCTTAAAAGTTACTCAATATTGTCCCCTCAGGGAAGGTTCCTTGATATTGCTGAGGGGCTCTTGATTTAGGGAATTGGATCTGTGCTCCAGTTCCCCGAATTAAGCCTGAATGCCTTCCACATCCCCCCCCCAGGCGCTGTATAATCCTCCGGGTTTAGCACTTCCCCCTTGATTATAATAATAATAATAATAATAATAATACTAAGATGTAGTGTGGCTCGGTGGCCCGGTGGCCTGGTGGCCCGGTGGCCTGGTGGCTAAAGCTCCCGCTTCACACACGGAGGGCCCGGGTTCGATTCCCGGCGGGTGGAAACATTTCGACACGTTTCCTTACACCTGTTGTCCTGTTCACCTAGCAGCAAATAGGTACCTGGGTGTTAGTCGACTGGTGTGGGTCGCATCCTGGGGGACAAGATTAAGGACCACAATGGAAATAAGTTAGACAGTCCTCGATGACGCACTGACTTTCTTGGGTTATCCTGGGTGGCTAACCCTCCGGGGTTAAAAATCCGAACGAAATCTTATCTTATCTTATCTTATGTCAAAATTAACATCTGAATCTTTGATTTTTGAGACACTGAACTTGGCTTCTCCAATGAATATCTTTTATGGCGTCATTATATGACAAGTGATTGTCATACCATTGCCTTACTTAGTTTCAAAGTTTATTATCTTGACATTTCTACTGTATCTTACAGCTAGGATTTAAAGAGCAAGATATTACAATGACCTCAATGGAAATCAATTACTTTAATTTGTTTATTATCTTAGGTAATTTACATATATTACTATGTGCAATAATTGTACTTATGTGTATCTTAGGTAATCTACACATGCTGATATGTATGATAATTATGTACCTTTATTTATGTGTACCTATATCTAAATAAACTTACTTAATTACTGAGTTCAGTAACCGGTTTCCAACTACAGCCGTTAAAGAATTGTCCGCGGAGTGTCAAAATGGAGCCGGTTTTCAGCTCTTGTCTTGTTCTTGTTGTTATACCTGGAGGTTGTTCTGGGGGTCAGCGCCCCCGCGACCCGGTCCATGACCAGGCCTCGCGGTGGATCAGGACCTGGTCAAGCAGGCTGTTACTGATGTTCACAAGTTAACCAACGTACCAACTAACCAACCCGGCTGATCATGTGCTGACTTTAGGTGTCTGTCCAGCTCCCTCTTGAAGACAGTCAGGGGTCTTGAAGACAACCAGGGGTCTTGAAGACAGCCAGGGGTCTTGAGGACAGCCAGGGGTCTTGAAGACAGCCAGGGGTCTTGAGGACAGCCAGGGGTCTTGAAGACAGCCAGGGGTCTTGAGGACAGCCAGAGGTCTTGAAGACAGCCAGGGGTCTTGAAGACAGCCAGGGGTCTTGAGGACAGCCAGAGGTCTTGAAGACAGCCAGGGGTCTTGAAGACAGTCAGGGGTCTTGAAGACAACCAGGGGTCTTGAAGACAGCCAGGGGTCTTGAAGACAGTCAGAAGTCTTGAAGACAGCCAGGGGTCTTGAAGACAGTCAAGGATCTTGAAGACAGCCAGGGGTCTTGAAGACAGTCAGGAGTCTTGAAGACAGCCAGTGGTCTTGAAGACAACCAGGGGTCTTGAAGACAACCAGGGGTCTTGAAGACAGCCAGGGTTCTTGAAGACAGCCAGGGGTTTTGAAGACACCCAGGGGTCTTGAAGACAGTCAGGGGTCTTGAAGACAGCCAGGGTTTTTGAAGACAGCCAAGGGTCTTGAAGACAGCCAGGGGTCTTGAAGACAGCCATGGGTCTTGAAGACAGCAAGGGGGCTTGAAGACAACCAGGGGTCTTGAAGACAACCAGGGGGCTTGAAGACAGCCATTGGTCTTAAAGACCACCAGGGGTCTTGAAGATAGTCAGGGGTCTATTGGTAATCCCCCTTATGTATGCTGGGAGGCAGTTGAACAGTCTTGGGTCCCCGACACTTGTTGTGTTATCTCTTAGTGTACTCGTGGGGCCCCTGCTTTTCATTGAGGGAATGTTGCACCACCTGCCGAGTCTTTTGCTTTCGTAGGGAGTGATTTCCATGTGTAGGCTTGGAACTTGCCCCTCTAGGATTTTCCAAGTGGATATTGTCATGTACCTTTCTCGCCTACGTTCCAGGAAGTACAGGGACGTCAACCGTTCCCAAGAATAGTCTGCGGTAGTCAGACAATTACAGAGGTACATAATGGGTTCAGGGACTGGGCCTTAGTAGTCAGACTATTACAGAGGTACATAATGAATTCATGGATGGACCCCAAGAAGTCACATAGACACATTAGCCTCAGCAGTCACAGAGACACATTAACCTCAGCAGTCACAGAGACACATTAGTCTCAGCAGTCACAGAGACACATTAATCTCAGCAGTCACAGAGACACATTAATCTCAGCAGTCACAGAGACACACTAACCTCAGCAGTCACAGAGACACATTAGCCTCAGCAGTCACAGAGACACATTAATCTCAGCAGTCACAGAGACACATTAACCTCAGCAGTCACACAGACACATTAACCTCAGCAGTCACAGAGACACATTAACCTCAGCAGTCACACAGACACATTAACCTCAGCAGTCACAGAGACACATTAACCTCAGCAGTCACAGAGACACATTAACCTCAGCAGTCACAGAGACACATTAACCTCAGCAGTCACAGAGACACAAGAATGAACCTCAGTAGTCACAATAACGGGTTCAAGAATGAACCAGTTTCCCCCTGAAATAGTAACAAGATAAGTGATGATAGTGGTGTGAACACAAGGATGCCAGCAGATATCATCCCACAGCTTCCTTACATTAGCATACTCTCTCTCTCTCTCTCTCTACGCCTCTCTTTAACTACAACTGCCATACAGTAAGTTTATTCAGGTATACACAAATACAGTTACATAGATTATCATACATAGCAACATATGTATAGACATGTACTGCTTATGTATAATAACCCATAAAAAGCCAGACAAGGGGACTTATTTGCAGCTGACGAGGGGGACAAAAGGTATATTGGAATTGTGTGTACTCACCTAATTGTGGTTGCATAGGTCGAGACTCAGCTCCTGGCCCCGCCTCTTCACTGATCGCTACTAGGTCACTCTCCCTCTCTATGCTTCCTGAGCTTGTGTGTGTGTGTGTGTGTGTGTGTACTCACCTATTTGTGATTGCAGGGGTCGAGTCTTAGCTCCTGGCCCCGTGTGTGTGTGTGTGTGTGTGTTATTGCACAGGGAGAAGCATTTCTTGCTAAGACTGCCGATACCCTCGCCGGGAATCGAACCCAGACCCTCACCGTGTGCAGGGAGAGCTTTTGCCACCAGGCCACGGGACCTGGGAGACCACACGAGTTTAGTGCTTTATTTAAAATAAAATATTAATTAAGAGTAAAGAATTTACTTGTTAATAAGGTTAAATAGGGAGAGAGAGAGAGAGAGAGAGAGAGAGAGAGAGAGAGAGAGGAGAGGAGAGAGAGAGAGAGAAGGAGAGAGAGAGAGAGAGAGAGAGAGAGAGAGAGAGAGAGAGAGAGAGAGAGAGAGAGAAGACGGAGGATCGAGCCTGAAACATTTTTTTAAATCGCCCACAGGGGTTTAGTGCTTCATTTATATATAACAATGCTAATGAACAGTAAATAATTTATGTATTAATGAGATTAAATGAAGATATATAGAGGCCGGGGTATCGAGCCTAAAATATTCTTCAGTGACCCATAGGGGTTTAGTGCTTTATATAAAATACTGACACTATTTAAGAGTAAATAATTTATCTATTAATAATGGTAAATAAAGAAAAGGAGAGAGAGAAAGAGAGAGTAAAAAAAAAGAGGATCGAGCCTAAAATATTAATTACAACCCATAAAGCTTTAGCGCTTTACACAAAAATACCAACACAAATTATTAGTAAATAATTTATATATTAACAAGGATAAATAAGTAGAAATAGAGCTAAATAAATTAGAGATATTATTAGTGTTGTTTACGTTGAGGGGGGAGAGGGAGGGTCGCCCTGGTTATTACACCTTATTTAACCTGATATTACCCCACCAGCGCCACTAATATTACCCCCCACGTACTAATATTACCCCCCACGTACTAATATTATCCCCACGTAGTAATATCAGTGGTGATGAGTGGTACACACGCCAGTCATGTACACCTGGAGCGTGTACACATGTGTACCACTTGTGTGTGTGTGTCTTCACATGTGTACTGAGGTGGGTTTCTGGCTCTTGTTGTGTCTGGCTCTTGTTGTGTCTGGCTCTTGTTGTGTCTGGCTCTTGTTGTGTCTGGCTCTTGTTTGTTGTGTCCGGCTCTTGTTTGTTGTGTCTGCTCTTTGTTTGTTGTGTCTGGCTCTTGTTTGTTGTGTCTGGCTCTTGTTGTGTCTGGCTCTTGTTTGTTGTGTTCTGGCTCTTGTTTGTTGTGTCTGGCTCTTGTTGTGTCTGGCTCTTGTTTGTTGTGTCTGGCTCTTGTTTGTTGTGTCTGGCTCTTGTTTGTTGTGTCTGGCTCTTGTTTGTTGTGTCTGGCTCTTGTTGTGTCTGGCTCTTGTTTGTTGTGTCTGGCTCTTGTTTGTTGTGTCTGGCTCTTGTTGTGTCTGGCTCTTGTTTGTTGTGTCTGGCTCTTGTTTGTTGTGTCTGGCTCTTGTTGTGTCTGACTCTTGTTTGTTGTGTCTGGCTCTTGTTGTGTCTGGCTCTTGTTTGTTGTGTCTGGCTCTTGTTGTGTCTGGCTCTTGTTGTGTCTGGCTCTTGTTTGTTGTGTCCGGCTCTTGTTTGTTGTGTCTGGCTCTTGTTTGTTGTGTCTGGCTCTTGTTTGTTGTGTCTGGCTCTTGTTGTGTCTGGCTCTTGTTTGTTGTGTCTGGCTCTTGTTTGTTGTGTCTGGCTCTTGTTGTGTCTGGCTCTTGTTTGTTGTGTCTGGCTCTTGTTGTGTCTGGCTCTTGTTTGTTTGTGTCTGGCTCTTGTTTGTGTCTGGCTCTTGTTGTGTCTGGCTCTTGTGTCTGGCTCTTGTTTTTTGTGTCTGGCTCTTGTGTCTGGCTCTTGTTTGTTGTGTCTGGCTCTTGTTTGTTGTGTCTGGCTCTTGTTTGTGTCTGGCTCTTGTTGTGTCTGGCTCTTGTTGTGTCTGGCTCTTGTTTGTTGTGTCCGGCTCTTGTTTGTTGTGGGCTGGCTCTTGTTTGTTGTGTCTGGCTCTTGTTTGTTGTGTCTGGCTCTTGTTGTGTCTGGCTCTTGTTTGTTGTGTCTGGCTCTTGTTTGTTGTGTCTGGCTCTTGTTGTGTCGGCTCTTGTTTGTTGTGTCTGGCTCTTGTTTGTTGTGTCTGGCTCTTGTTTGTTGTGTCTGGCTCTTGTTTGTTGTGTCTGGCTCTTGTTTGTTTGTGTCTGGCTTCTTGTTTGTTGTGTCTGGCTCTTGTTGTGTCTGGCTCTTGTTTGTTGTGTCTGGCTCTTTGTTTGTTGTGTCTGGCTCTTGTTGTGTCTGGCTCTTGTTTGTTGTGTCTGGCTCTTGTTGTGTCTGGCTCTTGTTTGTTGTGTCTGGCTCTTGTTGTGTCTGGCTCTTGTTGTGTCTGGCTCTTGTTTGTTGTGTCCGGCTCTTGTTTGTTGTGTCTGGCTCTTGTTTGTTGTGTCTGGCTCTTGTTTGTTGTGTCTGGCTCTTGTTTGTCTGGCTTTTTGTTTGTTGTGTCTGGCTCTTGTTTGTTGTGTCTGGCTCTTGTTGTGTCTGGCTCTTGTTTGTTGTGTCTGGCTCTTGTTGTGTCTGGCTCTTGTTTGTTGTGTCTGGCTCTTGTTGTGTCTGGCTCTTGTTGTGTCTGGCTCTTGTGTCTGGCTCTTGTTTGTTGTGTCTGGCTCTTGTGTCTGGCTCTTGTTTGTTGTGTCTGGCTCTTGTTTGTTTGTGTCTGGCTCTTGTTGTGTCTGGCTCTTGTGTCTGGCTCTTGTTTGTTGTGTCTGGCTCTTGTGTCTGGCTCTTGTTTGTTGTGTCTGGCTCTTGTTTGTTGTGTCTGGCTCTTGTTTGTTGTGTCTGGCTCTTGTTTGTTGTGTCTGGCTCTTGTTTGTTGTGTCTGGCTCTTGTTGTGTCTGGCTCTTGTTGTGTCTGGCTCTTGTTTATGTCTGGCTCTTGTGTCTGGCTCTTGTTTGTTGTGTCTGGCTCTTGTTGTGTCTGGCTCTTGTTGTGTCTGGCTCTTGTTGTGTCTGGCTCTTGTTGTGTCTGGCTCTTGTTATGTCTGGCTCTTGTGTCTGGCTCCTTGTTTGTTGTGTCTGGCTCTTGTTGTGTTCTGGCTCTTGTTGTGTCTGGCTCTTGTTTGTTGTGTCTGGCTCTTGTGTTCTGGCTCTTGTTTGTTGTGTCTGGCTCTTGTTTGTTGTGTCTGGCTCTTGTTTGTTTTGTCTGGCTCTTGTTTGTTGTGGGCTGGCTCTTGTTTGTTGTGTCTGGCTCTTGTTTGTTGTGTCTGGCTCTTGTTTGTTGTGTCTGGCTCTTGTTTGTTGTGTCTGGCTCTTGTTTGTTGTGTCTGGCTCTTGTTGTGTCTGGCTCTTGTTTGTTGTGTCTGGCTCTTGTTTGTTGTGTCTGGCTCTTGTTTGTTGTGTCTGGCTCTTGTTGTGTCTGGCTCTTGTTTGTTGTGTCTGGCTCTTGTTTGTTGTGTCTGGCTCTTGTTGTGTCTGGCTCTTGTTTGTTGTGTCTGGCTCTTGTTTGTTGTGTCTGGCTCTTGTTGTGTCTGGCTCTTGTTTGTCGTGTCTGGCTCTTGTTGTGTCTGGCTCTTGTTGTTTGTGTGTCTTCTGCTTTTTTGTTGTTGTGTCTGGCTCTTGTTTGTTGTGTCTGGCTCTTGTTGTGTCTGGCTCTTGTTTGTTGTGTCTGGCTCTTGTTTGTTGTGTCTGGCTCTTGTTTGTTGTCTGGTTCTTGTTTGTGTGTCTGGCTCTTGTTTGTTGTGTCTGGCTCTTGTTTGTGTCTGGCTCTTGTTTGTTGTGTCTGGTTCTTGTTGTGTCTGGTCTTGTTTGTGTCTGGCTCTTGTTTGTTGTGTCTGGCTCTTGTTGTTGTGTCTGGCTCTTGTTTGTTGTGTCTGGCTCTTGTTTGTGTGTCTGGCTCTTGTTTGTTGTGTCTGGCTCTTGTTTGTTGTGTCGGCTCTTGTTTGTTGTGTCTGGCTCTTGTTTGTTGTGTCTGGCTCTTGTTTGTTGTGTCTGGTTCTTGTTGTGTCTGGCTCTTGTTTGTTGTGTCTGGCTCTTGTGTTGTTGTCTGGCTCTTGTTTGTTGTGTCTGGCTCTTGTTTGTTGTGTCTGCTCTTGTTGTTGTGTCTGGCTCTTGTTTGTTGAGTCCTGGCTCTTGTATCTGGCTCTTGTTGTGTCTGGCTCTTGTTGTGTCTGGTTCTTGTTTGTTGTGTCTGACTCTTGTTGTGTCTGGCTCTTGTTGTGTCTGGCTCTTGTTTATTGTGTCTGGCTCTTGTTGTGTCTGGCTCTTGTTTGTTGTGTCTGGCTCTTGTTGTGTCTGGCTCTTGTTTGCTGTGACTGGCTTGTTTGCTGTGACTGGATTGTTTGCTGTGACTGGCTCTTGTTTGCTGTGACTGGCTCTTGTTTGCAGTGACTGGCTCTTGTTTGCAGTGACTGGCTCTTGTTTGCTGTGACTGGCTTGTTTACTGTGACTGGCTCTTCTTTGCAGTGACTGGCTCTTGTTTGCTGTGACTGGCTTGTTTGCTGTGACTGGCTATTGTTTGTAGTGACTGGCTCTTGTTTGTAGTGACTGGCTCTTGTTTGCAGTGACTGGCTCTTGTTTGCTGTGACTGGCTCTTGTTTGCTGTGACTGGCTCTTGTTTGCTGTGACTGGCTCTTGTTTGCAGTGACTGGCTCTTGTTTGCTGTGACTGGCTTGTTTGCTGTGACTGGCTTGTTTGCTGTGACTGGCTTGTTTGCTGTGACTGGCTTGTTTGCTGTACTGGCTTGTTTGCTGTGACTGGCTTGTTTGCTGTGACTGGCTTGTTTGCTGTGACTGGCTTGTTTGCTGTGACTGGCTTGTTTGCTGTGACTGGCTTGTTTGCTGTGACTGGCTTGTTTGCAGTGTATTTGTAAACTGTATACAGTGCTATATTAAGTTTTTACTATAAATCACTTAAATGGTTTTGTTTTATTGTTTTTAACATTATTCCTATATAATGTACACTGGATAATACACTTTTAATAGTTCATTATATGGAGTGTTACTGTAGGTGCTGCTCGACTTACGATGGGGTCATAAACCGATGAACCCATCGTAAGTTGAGAATACATGGTAAATAAATAACTATTGTCACGAAATAATTAAATAATTACAGTAAATATAAGTATTGAAAACTTAATAACTGGATACAAGGTTATCCTATCAGGTAATGTACAGAACTCTGTATTAACATTCGTGGCTCCAGATTGTTCAGCGTCTGAACAGAAGATATCAGAAACACTGCTGGAACAAGTGTAGATGTCTTCAGGAGGAAAGTGGATAATGTATACAGACCATAGCTGACATCAGTGACATACCACTACATAGAAAGCCGCTTGTTATGCTGAGCATTTCCCGCAAATTATGTCAGTTTTGTCCCAGGATGCAACTCACACCAGCTAACTAACTCCCAGGTACGCATCTTACTGATGGGGAACGTAGACAGCCGGTGTAAAGAAACACGCCCAATGTTTCTACCCTCACCGGGAATCGAACCCGGACACTCGCTGTGTGAAGCGAGAGCTTTAGCCACCAGTGGGCCACCAGCAGCAACAGCCTGCTTGACCAGGCTAACACCAGACGAGCTTGGCCCATGGCTGGGCTCCTGGAGTAATAAGACTCTTGAAACTCATGAAAGGTATATCAAAGGCAAAGGTACTGTACAGAAAAAGTTGTTTTACAGTACATTGCACGAGCGTAAAGTTGAAATACGGCAAGTCAAACCGTTGTAAAGCGAGGAAACACCTGTACTTGTAATTAATGCCTAATTTTCAGGAGTGTGGTTGGTGATGCGTGGTGGAGGGTGGGCCCGAGCAGTACGGGTGGTGGGTGTAGTAGTACTGCTGTGTGTAGCCTGGCTACAACTTGCACTCCCTCCACTACCACACGACCCACAGTCGACCTTCGGAGGTAGTGCCCGAGAAACTCCCGAGCTGGACCCGGCGCTCAGCTTCCAGCGAAGTCCTACTTCAAAATTCCTAAAGGTGCAACTGGATTTTGTATTACATTTCAAATACCAGGTTAGGTATGGCTTTTTCCTGCACTAAGAATCACTGCCCTGTTAATAGACCTGCTCCTCTCGAGGAAGGTTCCTCGGTAGATAAAATTTATAAAATACCGAGACTGTGGAAAAATAGATGCAGTATAATATGATCCTTTTGTGAATAAAGAATCGCTTTGTGCCGCACTTGTGTCAATTTTTCCATCCAGGTTCCTTTGTAATGGTGAGGGGCTCTTGATCTTAGGAATTATACCTGTGCTTCAATTCCTTTAATCAAGCCTGAATACCTTCCATTCCCTAAGTTGCTGTGTAACCCCTATGTGTCTAGGGCTCCCCTCTATGAATGCAATAATAATTGATAGATTTGCATGTATTTTACATATCTATAACCAAGCCTTTAAAAGTATCCCTGAAGGGATACTTTTAAATGGTTAACCCTTTGACTGCCGCAACCCCCAATCCTGAGGTGTCTCCTGGTGTCGCAAAATTTAAAAAAAAAAAATAATAATTTTTTCTTATGAAATGATAGAGAATCTTTTCCCGATTGTAATGACACCAAAAAAAACGAAATTTGATGGAAAACTGACGGAATTACGCTCTCGCGAAGTTAACGACCTCGGCGCTGTTTACAAATCGGTGATTTCGCCCACTTTGAGCCCTATTTTCGGCTAATTCCATTGTTCCAATCGCCCAAACTCATAGCTATTTCATTAGAACTCCATTTTTTCTATCGATTGAGTACAAGAAACTGCCCACTTACCGATTTCAACTACCTAATAATGTGGTCAGAAATTTGCAATTTGGCCAATTTCACGAAAAATTAAAAATATGACAATTTCAAAATAAGGTCCAGAATGAACAGTGCAGACATTCCTGGCTCTAAAATAACATTTTCTTTGCTCATCAGTCACATCTCCAGGCCCCTCTGATATTACTCTTGCTTTCTATTTTGAATTTTTATTCAAACAAAAAATAGAAGACTTACTATTATGCAGACTACTGCAATATTGTAATAATTGTATAAATAACATAACCCATTCATGACTGCATATTGGAATGGCTAGTTGGACATTTACTGGACAATGGCATCATTTGTTTACTTTTGAACATTGGCAAAAATCAAACATTTCCCCTACTTTGAGCTCCATTACTAGGTTCTTTTTATAGTAAAATCAATCAAAATCACCTCTATTTCTATAATATGTTTTCCATTCTATCAAATGAGACCAAGAAAACGAGAATACAACCATAAATACAATACGAAAATAGACCACAAAATTGGCATTTTAATTAAAAAAAACGGTCGGAGTTTTTTTTCTCATTATGCACTGCGTGCTCCAGGATTTTTTTTATATGGTGCACACTAACCACACAGTCTCATTCTCTCACATGTGGGCCTACCAGCTTTCTCCTGCTTGATTTGAAGCCGCTAGAATTTATAAGTAAATATACGTCAAACATGGTACCTCGTAAGACGTATATGTACGGCCGCGACAGTCAAAGGGTTAAGAGAATTTTTTTCTCCCAAGGTTTTTGTTTATAGATTCAGAATACCTCGTCTGATTAGCTTCAAATTTTTAATGCTAGTGAACTGTAACTAAGGAAAGGCCCTTGGAAGTATAAGCTTATTCCCTCGGACATGACACCTACACTGCCTTCAGCCTTTCCCTTGCTGCAGCATTCACCACCAATGCTTCAATTTTATATAGACTATTCTTGATTTTTTGTTTTCTGTGTTTCAAATTCTATTTCTAACAACCGTATAGTATTCTTGACATCCACTAATAGTTCCTGCTCATCTGTGGTTTCGTATCCAGGAAAAATCACAGAATGGGTGGGATTTGAACTCATGGCAAGTTAGTTCTGAAACTCCAGGACAGTGCATTAACCACTTGGCCAGCTGGCCAAGTTTGTTTGCAATTGTGTTATCAAGAGTTGCATCATCTCCATCTCACTTCTAACTCAATAAATACATAAATCTCGTGCCTCAGTTTTAGGCATAGAGACTGACTACCTTGCATGAGGGCAGAGGAAGTAATCACCTTAAAGTTTACCTTTCCACTTGTACTGTCTTCAGTGTTATAATAACCTTTGTTTGTCTGAAGAAGTTTGACACACAGGCAAAAGTTTTGACATTAAGATACCAAATTGTTGCACATCAACTTGTCAGTATTGTATACCAGTTATACTCTCCAAGTGTTGAAGCTAAGTCTTGTACAGTGGTACCCCGAGTTTCGTACATAATTCGTTCCAGAAGGCTGTTCAAGTGCCGTTACTGAACGGATTTGTTCCCCTAAGGAATAATATAAATTAGATCAGTCTGTTTCAGACCCCCAAAAGTACACTTACAAAAACACTTACAATAATACACTTACATAATTGTTCGAGTTGGGAGCTGTATGAAACTCGGGTATCATTGTACAGTGGACCCCCGCATAACGATTACCTTCGCATGTGACCAATTATGTAAGTGTATTTATGTAAGTGCGTTTGTACGTGTATGTTTGGGGGTCTGAAATGGACTAATCTACTTCACAATATTTCTTATGGGAACAAATTCGGTCAGTACTGGCACCTGAACATACTTCTGGAGTGAAAAATATCGTTAACCGGGGGTCCACCGTAATTGTTTTTGACAATGTACAATGCATTTATTATTTCCTCCTTAAAAATTTGAGCTCGGCATTTTACTCAAGGCTTCACTAACAAGATTTTTATTTCAATGTTGTATTGTACCTGCCTTAAAATTTCCACTCCATTGTTTTCTCTCCTGAAAGAGTGCATTCAGTCTGATAATCTGATTTTTTTTTGGGGGAAGAGGAGATTTTAGTGTTGAACTTCATCAGGATTTTGAGAATGCTTTGCCTTACTTAAAATTTAATCTGTCTACATAAATCTTTGTTGATTAATGTCATTACTGAGTTTAGGGTGAATACAGTGGACCCCCGGTTAACGATATTTTTTCATTCCAGAAGTATGTTCAGGTGCCAGTACTGACCGAATTTGTTCCCATAAGGAATATTGTGAAGTAGATTAGTCCATTTCAGACCCCCAAACATACACGTACAAACGCACTTACATAAATACACTTACATAATTGGTCGCATTTGGAGGTGATCGTTAAGCGGGGGTCCACTGTACATGAATCTCACTGGGGTTCAGAAACGTGAATCTCACCATACATAAAAAGTGACATTCCAGGTACCTGATGCAAATTAAGTATGCATTACCATTTCCAATATCAAAATATAAAAATTGATTTTTTTTTCAGTCCAAGACACAACCCTCTAGTTCCTCCACTGCCCCCAAACTAACCCCAGAGCAAATATTGGAGATACAGGAGCAGATCCAACTCCGCAGTGGCAACGAAACTGTTTTGAACGAAGAATTGTTTGGTCCGGTACAACCTGATACTATTGTTATAGCTGTTCAGGTTTGTATTATATAAAACAAACAAGCAAACAACTTTATTTCTTTTTGCAGTATACAAAATGTAGTTTACATGTAATAAACACGTAATAAACATATACTGTAATAAACATGTAAACCCCATGGAAATAAGTCACTTTGTTTGACTTTTTTTGGACTATCCCAGGTTCTCTACACATGTGCTGCTATGTATGATAATCTATGTATGTAACTGTATTTATGTATACCTGGATAAGCTTACTAAATAACAAAAAAAAGGCACAATACCGTGACTGGAACGATACACAAATACACTTCTTGTTAGTGTGACTTTGTAAATGGTCCAAGTCGGATCGAAACGTCGTCGTAAGCTCCTCTCTTCTATGTGCGGGTTATTTGTGTATATGTACAGTGGAACCTCAAATATCGAACTTTCTTCGGTCCAGAAGTCTGTTCGAGTGCCTTTACCGAATGAGTTTATTCCCATCAGGAATAATGTAAATTAGATTAGTCCATTTCAGACCCTTAAAAATACACTTATAAAAGCACTTACAAAAATACAGTTACGTAATTGGTAGTGTTGGGAGCAGTTCGATTTTTGAGGTTCCACTGTACTTTCTTACTAACTATATGTAAAAGAAAGCAGCTTACATGCTGGCTCTTGTAAATATTATGCATATTAACCCTTAAACTGCCCAAGCAGATCTACATTCACATGCGTAGTGTTCCAAAAGTAGATCTATGTTTTTTTTACATATACGTATTTTCAAATATAACAAAAAAAACGTAGATCAAAGTTTTTTTACACTTTTTCAAATGTAAAAAAAGAAAAGTAGATTACTTTTTTTACATAGTTTCAAATGTTGAAAAAACGTAGATCTACGTTTGGACAGTTTAAGGGTTATAGCTCCTGCAAAAAAAAAAAAAAATGCGCTACTATGGTTTTGGTGTCTTTTAAGGTATGTGTTACTACCAACCATCATAAGATTTGGACGAAAGGGTGGGAGGGAGGGGGGGTAGGGGTCATCCTAGGAAGGGTATGGAGGGAGGGGGGTGTGGTTTATAAGGAGATTGGTAAAGGGGAATGGACATGCAGCAGACGAGATGAGAGCATGTTAGTCAGAGAAAAACAGATCTTCTTCTCTGCTTTCCTCCTCCCTTGCCCTTCTCCTTCTCCTCTCCTCCTTCTGCACCTCCTACTCTGCTCCGTCGACTCTCTCACTCCTCTCCTCCTTCTCTACCCTTCCCGCCCCTTCTCCTCCTCCTTCTCCTCCCCTTCTCTCTCCTCTTCATCCTCCTTCCCTCCTCCTCTCCTCACTTCTCCTCCTCCTTCTCCTCCTTCTCCTCCTCCCCTCCTCCTCCCCTCTCCTCCTCCTCCTCCTTCCCTCCTCCTTCTCCTCCTCCTCTCCTCCTCCTTTCCTCCTCCCTAACTCCTCTCCTCCTCTCCTCCTCCATCCTCCTCTCCCTCTCATCCTCCTCCTTCTCCTCCCTTCTCTCCTACCTTCTCCCTCCATCCCTCTTCCCTCCTCCTGCACCTCCTCCTCTCCTCCATCCTCTCCTCCTCGCTCTCCTCCTCCTTCACCTCCTCCTTCCCTCCTATCCTCCTCCTTCTCCTCCTTCTCCTCCTCCTCTCCTCCTTCTCCTCCTCACTCCCGCTCCCTCTCTCCTCCTCCTCTACTCCTCCTCTTCTCCTCCTCCTCCCTCCTCTCTCCTCTCTCCTCCTCTCCTTCCTCCTCTCTCCTCCTTTTCCTCCTCCTTTCCTCCTCCTTCCTCCTCTTTCCTCCTCCTTCCTCTCCTCCTTCTCCTCCTCCTTCTCCTCCTCCCTCCTCCTCCTTCTCCTCCTCCTCCTTCCTCCTCCTCCTCCCTTCCTCCTCCTTCTCCTCCTCCTTCTCCTCCTCCTTCTCTCCTCCTCTCCTCCTCTCCTCTCCTCCTCCTCCTCCTCCCTCTCCTCCTCCCTCCTCCTCCTCCCTCCTCTCCTCCTACCTCTCTCCTCCTCCTCCTCTCCTCTCCTCTTCCTCTCCTCCCTCCTCCTTCCTCCTCTCCTCTTCCTCCTCCTCTTCCCTCCTCCTCCTCCTCCTGGAGTTTCAGGGCCACTGACAGCATACGCCATATCGAGCCTGGCCGTCCAGTGCTAGGAGAGGGAATATTGACCACAATTGCTATTACTGGCCATTCACTCTTACAGTTAGTCCATTATGTGGAGGGTTTACAGTGTTATATCATAGTCCAGAAATGAATCCTGATGATAGTGGCTGATTTTTCACCAAAATTTTAATTTTTTTTAACATGCTGGTTGTCTCCTGTCGAGGTAGGGTGACCCAAAAAAGAAAGAAACACTTTCACCATCATTCAATAAATGCCTTGTATATCAATAAGGTATCGCTGGTGCACTCAACTCACACACTGGGGTCTCTGGGTTGATCCCCAGTGCAGCTGGAAAACATTTGGATGTTTCCTTAAGATATCTGCTGTCCAGTGTTCACCCATCAGTAAAATGGATACCTGGGTGTTAGTTGACTGGTGTGGGTTGCATCCTGCGACAAAATTGATCTAATTTGCCCAATTTGCTTTGCATAACAAGGGGTTTTCTATATATATGTACATGTGCTTGTAGAAATAAAGATGATTATTATTCTAATATTAGTATTATTATAAATGCCCTAAGAAGCTGCAAGCTATTCCAACCTACTTTAATAGTTAATGGTCTGAGTTGGACCAAAACGTCATGAGTTCCAAGTCTGCTATGTGAAGATTATTTATGTATTGTTTCAGTCACAGTATTGTGCCTGTTTTATTCTATAATTTAATTAATTTTTCATTTATGTACTTAGGAATTTTTTCCGTTTCAGGTGCACAATAGGCTGGAGTATTTACGGCATTTAATTGTCTCTCTTGCCCAGGCCCGAGACATTGATTCTGTGCTTCTGATATTTTCGCATGATTATTTTGATGAGGACATCAATCAGTTGATCACGACTATTGACTTTTGTAAGGTGAGATGGTCGTGTTATTTGTACATCTTCGTTTTGTGGCTTTTTTCTTGACCTTGTGTATTTTTTGTGCACTCAGAGGATCAGACAGTGATTTTGTCCGAGCTGAAGATGCTTGAATAGACCTTTAAGATTTATAAAAATTTTAGTTTGTATTTAAGAAATCACTTTTAAGCTAAATACAATGGGACCTCCCTGTATCTTTGGGGGATACATTCCAACGACCTGCCGTGGATACCGAAACCATGGATAGTAGCGAATCCTATGTATGAGACGGTACCAGATCAGCCGGGCTGTGGTTCATACATTGGATTGCGTGCGGCTAGCAGTAACAGCCTCGTTGATCAGGCCCTGATCCACTGGGAGGCCTGGTCGTGGACTGGGACGCGGGGGCGTTGATCCCCGGAATGCCCTCCAGGTAGACATATTATAAAGTTTAATTGACAAATTATGCACAATAAGTGAAACAATTCTCTCACTTTCACTGATGGGCTTCTCTTAGGCTTTGAAGAGCTTTCACCATCGATACTTTTGCATTTTGGTGCCATTATTAAGCAAAATTAAAGGTTATTTTCTGGCCACAGCAAACTGCGGATAACTGAAACAGCTGATATGGGGGTCACACTGTATACGGTGGACCCCTGCTTTACGATCAGCTCCCAATGCGACCAATTATGTAAGTGTATTTATGTAAGTGCGTTTGTACTTGTATGTTTGGGGGTCTGAAATGGACTAATCTAATTCACAATGTTCCTTATGGGAACAAATTCGTTCAGTAATGGCACCTGAACATACTTCTGGAATGAAATAATATCGTAAACCGGGGGTCCACTGTATTTCTTTCTGTGTATATAACAATAGTGCTTAGTTAATAGAGCTAGGCTCCTTGCTGTAATTTTGTGTATTCATTAGATATAGCACTATAGTGGTTAGGCTTCTGTCTGTTCCTTTGTGTATTATTAGACCATTGTGGTTAATTTATATGGTTAGACTCCTGATCCCCTCTGTACACATTAGTTAAAATACTGTACTGTAGTGGTTAATTCACAGAATTAAGACTTGTCTGATCTTCTCTGCATGTATAATTAAGGAATAATTTTGGTATAATTTAGGTATACTTTAGGTATAACTTAGATGTACACAGGTACGATCCTGGATATGTTAGGAATTATCCAATTATAAAATCAAATCAAATTCTTTATTGCTTTACACAGTACAATGTGTAGTTTATGTGTAATAAAGTACAGTGGACCCCTGCTTTACGATCAGCTCCCAATGCGACCAGTTATGTAAGTGTATTTTTGTAAGTGCGTTTGTATGTGTATGTTTGGGGGTCTGAAATGGACTAATCTAATTCACAGTATTCCTTCTGGGAACAAATTCATTCAGTACTGGCACCTGAACATACTTCTGGGCTGAAATAATATCGTAAACCGGGGGTCCAGTGGTTTGTCATGCACAAACAAAGCCGCTAACAGTCATAAGCATTTCAGGCAGATTAATTCTATTGCTTACAGGCCAGTTTTGGAACCTGCTGGCAGGTGTTTATGACGTAAATTATAAATTCATATGTATTAAAAAAAGAGAAAGAACCAGCATTAATATAATTTTTAAAAGACGCAGTACTGTCAGATTTAATAATTCAAACATTGTTCAAAATAAACCAGGGAACGGGTGGGGTTTGAACCAATGGCAGGTGAGTCATAAAACTCACGACTTGCTTGCCATGGGTTTGAAACCCCACCCTTTTCCTGGTCTGTTTGCAGTCGCTTTATGATGATTTCGTGAGTCATAATGTTAAACGTGATTTTCTTTTCGGTAGGTTATGCAGATTTTCTACCCTCATTCTCTGCAGACGCACCCAAACAGCTTCCCTGGAGAATCGCCCGGAGACTGTCCAAGGGACACGAAGCCAGAGGAGTGAGTAATGGTGGATCAGTAACCTAGTAAGGCAGTTGAACACAAAATGCATACACACGAAACATGCCTGCATGCATTTTGTGTGCACTCATGCACACAAAATGTGCACACAAAACTCACACAAACTGCACATGCACGTGTACACACAACACAACATACAAGTTAAAACTTGGGTCCAGGAGTTAAGACTTGACCCCTGCAACCACAAATAGGTGAGTACATATAAAACCAAGAAAACTAAAAAAAAAACGTCCTCCAGAAATAAGACTTTTGATCCAAGGAATTGGACTTGTGTTCTAATTCCTTCAATCAAGCTTAAATGCCTTCCGTTCTTCCTGGGTGCTGTGTGACCCCTATGGGTTTAGAACGCCCAGTGAATGTAATAATACTGCATTAACCCACTTCATAGTTGACCTGCTTCCTCAAGTGGATCTTACCACAACTACTACTACTATTACTAGTTTGACCACTACCACTACACTGCCACTACATTTATGAAGGGATTCAGGGAAACCGGCAGGCCGGACTTGAGTCCTGGAGATGGGAAGTACAGTGCCTGCACTCTGAAGGAGGGGTGTTAATGTTGCAGTTTAAAAACTGTAGTGTAAAGCACCCTTCTGGCAAGACAGTGATGGAGTGAATGATGGTGAAAGTTTTTCTTTTTCGGGCCACCCTGCCTTGGTGGGAATCCGCCAGTGTGATAATAATAAATAAAAACACTACACTGCTTCATATTTTTTTTTTTAACATGTTCTTCGTCTCCCACCTAGGCAGAGTGACCCAAAAAGAAAGAAATTCCGAAAAAAGAAAAATACTTTCACCTCACTCATACATAATCACTGTCTTTGCAGAGGCGCTCAGGTACGACAATTTAGAAGTCCCTCCAAACTGCCAATATCCCAAACCCCTCCTGTAAAGTGCAGGCATTGTACCTCCCATTTCCAGGACTCGAGTCTAGCTAACCAGTTCAATATTGGGCTTAAGGCTTCAGGCTGGAACCTATGAACTCCGACAAGGGAGACGCGAGTGTGGATGTGTACCCGACAGTACTATTGCCTGCCAACTGCTTCATGTATTGACATATATTCTCTTATAGTACTTGATAAAATCTCTTTCAGGTAAAATGTTAACTGAGGTTTTCAGTCATCCAAATACTGGAGGGATTTGGATGCTCTTCTTTTGTGTTATAAATTAACCTTTTATAAGACCATTTTGCTCTTATGACTTTTGTCATAATTTTCATTGATTTTTATGAGTTTTTGAAAGTGCAGCCAGTCATTATTCCTACGTATGAGCAGTTTGTATAAAAATTGAAACCACTGTCTCGTAAGTCTTGAACTACACTGCTTCATGTCTTGACTCCTCCCTTCCCTTGGGAAGGAGTAGGACTCTCTGATTGGTGCTTGAGGATTACAGACAGTACCCTTATTGGCTAGAGGCAATGTCAATTTATGTGCCCTGATTGGGTTCTTGAACCCCTGTATTGGGGTCCTGGAATACTTATGGATTTTAATAAAAGAAGATTTCTATTTGCTAGACGTGTCTTTCATAATCACTTGTCGGGTCACAACCATATTCCGACTTGACTGAAAATATTTGTTGCATCACTTTGTAATGGGGTTATTCCGTTATTTTAACCCATAGGACTAAAGTGTGGATTACTCATTGCTCTAATATGATTATTTACCTTTTTTTATGTCTCTATTTTCAGAGCTGCAGAGAGTAAATGTGTTGGTACGCCAGACCTGTATAAGCATTACCGAGAGGCTCGCTTCACACAAACTAAACATCACTGGTGGTGGAAAGCCAACAAGTGAGTAGAATATTATTGTCTGTGGTGGCCATGATCTTGGCAACTATTAACGGATATATATAATGGATATGTCATTTTTTAACACACTGACCATTTTCCAACCAAGGTGGGGTAGCCAAAAAAAAAGGAAGAAACACCATCGCCATCACTTACTCCATCACTGTCTAGCCAGAGGGGCATTGATACTACAGTTCAAAATTGCAAGTATCCCCACACCTCCTTCAGAATGCCAGCACTGTACTTCCCATCTCCAGGATTCAAGTCCAGCCAACTGGTTTCCCTGAATATCTTGTATAAATTACTAAAATACTGGCAGCAAGGTGCTAGTAACTCCTTCTAATGTATAAATTACTAAATATAATAAGAAAATTAGGAGGTGTGGAGTTACTAAAAGTATTAGAGGGCTGTTGAGATGGTTCGGTCATTTAGAGAGAATGGAACAAGGTAGAATGACTTGGAGAGCATGTAAATCTATTGGGGAAGAAAAGCGGGGTAGGGGTTGTCCCCGAAAAGGTTGGAGGGAGGGGATAAAGGAGGTTTTGTGGGCGAGGGGCTTGGACTTACAGCAAGCATGCATGAGCTTGTTAGATAGGAAGGAATGGAGACAAATGGTTTTTGGGACCTGATAAACTGTTGGAGTGTGAGCAGGGTAATATTTTGTGAAGGGATTCAGGGAAACCAGTTAGCCAGACTTGAGTCCTGGAAATGGGAAGTACAGTGCCTGCACTTTGAAGCAGGGGTTTAGGATATTGGCAGTTTGAAGGGATGTCTAAACTGTCATATCTGAGTGCCTGTGCAAAGACTGATTATGTATGAGTGATGGTGAAAATGTTGAATGAGGACAAAAGATTTTTCTTTATTTTTGGGTTTTTCTTTCTTTTTGGGTTACCTTGCCTCGGTGGGAAGCTTGACAAAACTCCTGGAGAGCGAAACATTGCCACAATAAAATGTCACATTATTTATACTTGTGTCCTTTTACCCAATGGTCTTACTTTTGTTTTGTATTCCTGGTTGCCTACAAATAACATTGAATAAAAATTTCAGGATTTTTGATGATGTGTGGATTCTTAAGAACCACACAGGGTTAGTTCTGTTCTTGGAGGAGGACCACTATGTTGCTGAGGACTTCTTGCACATGTTGCGACTTCTGGCGGCCGCCATCCCTCGCGCCTGCAGCAAGTGTTCGCTCATTACGTTGGGAAACTATCTCAAGAATTACAACTTCCACACTGATGCTAAAAAGGTAGTGTTTGACAGGCAGAAACCATGGAATGGGTAGGGTTTGAACTCGTGGCAAGTGAGATTCATTTGTAAAAGCTTTCATTTGTGGTCACAGTGGTGGCCCATGCTAACCTCCCTATGGTGTATAGAAATATACCTAGTTGGATGAATCTTATTGAAGCCAGCTGGCCCAGTGGCTGGCCTATGAATTTTATGACTCGCTAGCCATGGTTTCAAACCCCACCCGTTGCATGGTTCCTTCTCAGTCGTGTTTTTACAGTTTCATGAGTTTTGAGAAGAAGATCTAATTAGATATTGCCATTAGGGTTTCTGTGGGAGGTTTCCAGCTTGCAGACGCCTCAAGTTACATGCGTGAAGGTTTACAAACTGGGAAGTTAAGCAGTCATTTTTTAATCGTTGAGCTGCATTATGAATGTGTGAAACAATCATCCATTATACTGTTGTTTTATATGCAAATAACTTGAGAAGGGTAATATTTTATGAAGGGATTCATGGAAACTGGTTAGCCGGACTTGAGTCCTGGAAATGGGAGGTACAATGCCTGCACTTTAAAGGAGGGGTTTGGGATATTGGCAGTTTGGAGGGACTTCTAAACTGTCATATCTGAGCACTTCTGCAAAGACAGTACTCACCTAATTGTGGTTGCAGGGATCAAGACTCAGCTCCTGGTCCCGCCTCTTCGCTGACTGCTACTAGGTCCTCTCTCTCTCTCTCTCTCTGCTGCCTGAGCTTTGTCATACCTTGTCTTAAAGCTATGTATGGTTCCTGCCTCCACTACATCACTTGCTAGGCTGTTCCACTTCCTGACAACCCTATGACTGAAGAAATACTTCCTAACATCCCTGTGACTCATCTGAGTCTTCAACTTCCAATTGTGACCCATTGTTTCTGTGTCCCATCTCTGGAACATCCTGTCTCTGTCCACCTTATCTATTCCACGCAGTATTTTGTATGTCATTATCATGTCTCCCCTGACCCTCCTGTCCTCCAGTGTCATCAGTCCGATTTCCCTCAACCTTTCTTCATACAACATTCCCCTGAGCTCCTGAACTAGCCTTGTTGCAAACCTTTGTGCTTTCTTTAATGTCTTGATGTGCTTGACCAGGTGTGGGTTCCAAATTGGTGCTGCATACAGTGATTATGTGTGAGTGATGGTGAAAGTGTTAGATGATGATGAGAGTTTTTTACTTTCTTTTTGAGCTTTTCTTTTTGGGTCACCCTGCCTTGGTGGTAAATGGCCGATGTGTTAAAAAAAAAAATTATTGCAGGTCGAAGTAACTCAGTGGGTGTCCTTGTTGCACAATATAAGAATATTGCAGGTTGAAGTAACTCTGTGGGTGTCCTTGTTGCACAATGTAAGAATATTGCAGGTTGAAGTAACTCTGTGGGTGTCCTTGTTGCACAATGTAAGAATATTGCAGGTTGAAGTAACTCTGTGGGTGTCCTTGTTGCACAATGTAAGAATATTGCAGGTTGAAGTAACTCAGTGGGTGTCCTTGTTGCACAGTATAAGAATATTGCAGGTTGAAGTAAATCAGTGGGTGTCCTTGTTGCACAATATAAGAATATTGCAGGTTGAGGTAACACAGTGGGTGTCATCGAAGCACAACATGGGGTTCGCCTTCAACCAAAGTGTGTGGCAACAAATCAAAGCTTGCAGTGAGAAGTTTTGCGACCACGACGACTACAACTGGGACTGGTCGCTGCTACATGTGAGCAACGCCTGTCTCGCGCAGAAGCTCCACACCCTAGTACTCCGTGCACCGCGAGTCTTCCACATTGGAGAATGGTAAGCCAAGAACTGTATCATGTAGTCATTGATTATGCGAATTGAAAACGGTGTGCTTAGCTCATGTTCTTCCTCGTATTGACGAGCCACGGAATGGGTGGGGTGTGAACCCATGGTGAGTGAGATGTAGAACTTCAGGACATGGGTTCGAAACCCCACCCATACCTTGGTTTGCTTGCAATCGTGTTTTTACAATTTCGTGAGTTGCCTTATGTTGTATTCTTCAGTATTTTGTTTTGCATTTATTAAATAACATTTCATTACTACTCTGGCGGGAGATTTGTCTGTAAAAACTCGCATTTGTGGTCACAATGGTGCCTATACTAACCTTCCTATTGTATAAATAAATTAACCATACCATGCAACTCTCGGTTATCTGTCAATTATTGTGAGCAAGAAAATCACTTCATGAATGTTTACCTACCCTTGTCATCATGTTAAAGTTTAGAAGTCGTTTTTATAAAGCCCTGAAAAAGCTAGTTAATAATTCCAGTTGTTTTAGTTGTGATATACGTACATCTCTTAGAAGACAGCAATTGAATGATGTTGAATATATTTCTTTCTCTGAGTTGCCCTACATTGGTGGAAACATGAAGGAGGAACACTGCAGCAGGCTTACTGGCCCATACTAGGAAGGTTCTTCTCAACCCAAAACGACTAACAAAAATATTTGCCCAGCCCAAGGAATAAGCTTTAGCAACCCTATTAACTCATGTGCAAGTCCCACTCAAATCAATTCCTTCTAAATGAAGGAATAGAGTTAAAAAATTTACAGATATTGCCATACGTGTTGTAAAAGGCAGTTAAAATGCCGAGAGCATGGGGCTAGTAACACCTTCTCCTGTATAAATTACTGAATGTAAGAAGAAAAACTTTTGTTTTTCTTTTCAGGTCACCCTGCTTCAGCGGGAGATGGCTGGTGTGTTAAAAAATTACCTATATGCAATATTATTCTCCATGGGGAAGTGGAACAGAATTCTTCCTCCGTAAGCCATGCATGTTGTAAGGGCGACTAAAATACCGGGAGCAAGGGGCTAGTAACTCCTTCTCCTGTATACGTTACTAAAGTTAAAAAGATAAACTTTTGTTTTTCTTTTTGGGTCACCCTGCTTCGGTGAGATATGGCCGGTTTCTTGAAAGAAGATGATGTGATTTCATGTTGCTTGTTGCAGGAGCAGAGCTATTATTTGTGCTGTAGTTTCAGTAAATGGCTTTTAATGTGATTTTTTTTTTCCTCAGTGGTGTGCACCATAAAAAAAAGGATTGCAGTTCCCGTGCTGTTCTCGTCAAGGTACATCGAGCATTGCAAGCTGGTCAACGTACACTCTTTCCACGGCAACTTGTGGTCGTGCACACTCCTCCAAAGAAGGTATCATTTATTAATTTCATACAGTGAAACAGTGTTGTATGCTGTAAGTTATTTTTTTAAATAACAAAAAGGCACAATACCGTGACTGGAACGATACACAAATAACCTGCACATAAAAGAGAGAAGCTTACGACGACGTTTCGGTCCGACTTGGACTTGGAGAGTCGTCCAGACTGTGATGTCGTCACACTTTTGGCGAGTTGGCAAATAAATGAATGATGGTGATTTTTTTTCTTTTTTTTTTGGGGGGGGAGACTGCTGTGTGTTAAAAAGGAAAACATAGCCAGCTTTCATCCCACCTGGGGCCCCAACAACAGCCTGCTACTTTACATAATTTTTTGGCTGAGTAGCAATTTGTCAGCAACACGGCTTTCAATTAATATAACTCAAGCACTTCTAAACATCACTGTTTCATCCCATTTATTTCAGTCTTCTAATAATGGCAATATTTCTACTCTGCATCATAACTCTTCCATCAGGTTTTATTGCCTGGTGGTTGCTGAGCTGTGTGATAATTAAAGAAAGAGAAAATAGTGGGAAGACAAGCAACAGGTGATCATGCTTTTGCTTTCCATATTTCTTATGATTGTTTTTTTTTTTATGCTAGTGGTCATGTCCACCAGGGTAGTGTAACCCAAAGAAGAAAGCTTATTCACCATCATTTATTCTATCTTTGTTTTTCCAGAAGTGTGCTGACATAATTAATGTTACTCTCCAACCACAACATCCCCATCCTTCCTTCAGGGTGCAGGTGCTGTACTCTCCACCTCCAGGGATCAAATTCGGCTGACTGGTTTCCCTGAATCTTTTCATAAGTTACTTTGCTCACACTCCAACAGCACATCCATTAAAAACCACTTGTCTCCATTCACTCCTGTTAAAACTCACCCACAAGCCTGCTAGATGCTCAAGCCTCTAAACTCAAATATGTAGCAGAACAAGCTTTTATTAAGACATTTCCTTTTTAAGAGAGGCGAAGGATATTGCATTTTGGAGGACACTTAGAACTTGATGTCAGCACGCTTTTGGCAAGACAGTGATTGAATGAGTGAAGGGGCGGAATTTTTCTTTGGTAGGAAACGGCTTTTTTTAATACAGGAGGACCCCACAAATACAGCACCTCTTTTCGGTGTTCCATGTGTTCTTTGACTCTCATTAGAGTCATTATTCCACCCACTGGATAATGAACAATGGTTCAGTTTGAAACCAGTGAGAACGTGTAACACCAAAAAGAGGGTGCAGTACGTGCAGGGCTCTCCTAACTGAAAACATTCCAATGAAGTTTATTCTACAGTATGGGCTGCTGCTAGCTAATATTTGTTTTGTATGCTTTGCTATGAGCAGGAAAGTGAATGCTGGTAACACACCTTTTCTTTTTTCAGGTTAAGAAGCATAAAGGTAATGGTGGTTGGGGCGACAAACGCGATCACGCCCTATGTCGTTCCTTCAGCATGTCAACGTCTCTGGACATTAGCATAATAAATACCCTCGTTGTTACGGGTTCACTGGTCAGTAATAGCTCAATAAACAGCAGTACACTAGTCAGAAGTGGGTCTTGATTGTGGTATTGTAAATTTTGTATATTAACTTAGACAAGGCAGATTATTAGTCAAGTTAACCTTGAGCCAAGCTCCATCAGAATTGTACAACTCATAGCTCTTTGTGAACAACTGTTTCTACTCAAATGTAAGTCACGACAGTATATGTGAAAATTTAATTATTCAACCCTGCGAGGAAGAGGTTCAAGGTAGCTTTTTTGTACTGAATATAGTCCTCATTAAGGGGGTCGTCCATTGGTCACTTGCGAGAAAATGTGAAAAATGTAGAAACTGGCATTATTTTTTTCGTTTAGGTATTCACACCTGTAAAAAGATGTAATGTAAATGTGAATGTTGAATTATAAAACATAGACTCTCCCAAGGGCGCAAGGCAATATTTTTTTTTTCAAAACGCTGGCCGTCTCCCTCCAAGGCAGGCTGATCTGAAAAAGAAGAGACAAAAGTTTTCCCTCTTTTTACATTTAATAATTTATACAGAAGAGGGGTTACTAACCCCTTAAAGGCAATATTCATATACGTATTAAAAAAATTTGAGCTTATTGTTGTTCTTCTAAGATATGTTGTTTACGTACATTATCTCTCGGTCCACAATAGGATTTGAACCTGCAAACTCGGCATCAGAGTACACAGTACTTTATCCACAAGCTAGACTCCAGATGTGGATAAAGTACTGCGTACTCTGATGCCAAGTTTGCAGGTTCAGATCCTGCTGAGGACTAAGAAATAATGTCTGTAAATAATTTTGTCTGTTTGCATATTGTTAAGCACATTGTTACATATGTCTGGCAAGTGAAATATTACTTACAGGTAGCTGAGAGCTAACATTTTATCAAAAGAATTTTATATACAAAAAAAAAAAAAAAATCTTGACATGTATTATTAACTAAATTTGGTTGGTGCTAGTACATGATCTACCTAATCTAGATTAACTTAAATATCGTACATTTCAGTATTATTATTGTTAAAATATTGTATATAAAATTTATTTGATATGTAAGTACTGTATAGTATTTACGGGATCTCACAGCCGTAAGAAATAAGAGTATGTCATGGACATAACAGTGTGACGCAGGAGTATTAGTTACGAGGGTAATATGGTGACAGGATGGATCTCAGGGCATACATACAGAGCCTTGTTATGGCAACGATTGATTTTGTGAAGTTTTAGCCAATTTTTGTGATTGAGTTTTACACAACACATTGTTGTTATTAAAAGCTTGCTGTGTGCATGTCTTTACCTATTCTGTGAGCAGCATAAGGACTGGTTGATTGTTGTTCCCTGTTGTATGATTTGTATAAGGTTGATTGTTTCCCTGTTGTATGAGGATGATTGTTGTTCCCTATTGTATGAGGATGATTGTTCTCTGTTGCATGATTTGTATGAGGTTGATTGTCTTCCCTGTTGAATGAGGATGATTGTTGTTCCCTTTTGTATGAGGATGAAAGTTGTTCCCTATTGTATGAGGATGATTGTTGTTCCCTATTGTATAAGGATGATGTTGTTTCCTGTTGTACGAGTTGCATGATGTTGATTGTTGTTTCCTGTTGTATGACTTGTATGATACACTTTGTATTTTGAACGTTGCTACTTACGAACGTTTTATTTATTATAATGCATTCACTGTCAGTCTATCCTCATTTTACATGATACTCAGCATCAATATCTTCACAAAATCCTAATGCAACTGCAAACAAAGATGCGGTTTAAACCTACAGCAAGTGGGTCTTTCTGTGGGTTCAACCCTCCACCCATTCCGTGGCTCAACCAGCATCAATATTCGGGTTGTGTATTTGATGATTGGACGTGCAAGGATTATGATAATAGGTCTGATGCTGTGCTCCTTCCTTAAGTGGATGTGCTGTGACCTGGCTAGGTGGGTCATTGGTTTAAGCCGGGAGGTAACTTGGACCTGCCTCGCATAGGCCAGTAGACCTGCTGCAGTGTTCCTTCTTTCTTATGTTCTTATGATAATACACAATTTTTGAAAAATTACAAAAGCAAGAGTAAATATATATAATCAAAACCACTGCTCAAATCAGAATAGTTTTTCATTACTGTTTCGTCGTGAAGAAGGAAGCAGAATCAATTGGCAACGTATCATTGCTGACCTTAGGGAGGTAGAGTCGTTCTGGTGAATCAGTTGGTGACTTACCTTTGCCACCCTCTTAGGGAGGTAGAGAGTCGTTCAGGTGAATCAATTGGTGACTTACCTTTGCCACCCTCTTAGGGAGGTAGAGAGTCGTTCAGGTGAATCAGTTGGTGACTTACCTTTGCCACCCTCTTAGGGAGGTAGAGAGTCGTTCAGGTGAATCAGTTGGTGACTTACCTTTGCCACCCTCTTAGGGAGGTAGAGAGTCGTTCAGGTGAATCAGTTGGTGACTTATCTTTGCCACCCTCTTAGGGAGGTAGAGAGTCGTTCAGGTGAATCAGTTGGTGACTTATCTTTGCCACCCTCTTAGGGAGGTAGAGAGTCGTTCAGGTGAATCAATTGGTGACTTACCTTTGCCACCCTCTTAGGGAGGTAGAGAGTCGTTCAGGTGAATCAGTTGGTGACTTATCTTTGCCACCCTCTTAGGGAGGTAGAGAGTCGTTCAGGTGAGGGACCAAGCTACCTTATTTACCCATTTCCAAATAGCACCACTGTACATAATATAAACTTATATTAGTCGCACCAGGCACATTAAGGCATGTGAATAAGACAACATGTGGTTCATGCCAGTTTATTGAGATGTTTTGACCACCAGAGACTTCATCGACTGGTAGTTCCTGCTGGATAAAATGTCTCTGCAGTAAAATGCCATAAACTGTGTATTATCTTATTAAAACACTTGTTGCTATATCCTATCATTGATACAGTAGAAAAAATTTGCTTTATGGAATAAAATGGGAGAAATAACTGTTTTCCTGATATAAGGGCATAATTTTTCTTTTTTTAAATTATTAATGAGGAGAATTTTCATTTTCCTATACCACTAATTTTTCAGTCATTTCTACATAACATAATGTCAGAAGATTTACGTTTAACGGGAGTGATAAATTGTGGAATTCATTCTTCCTGTCAGGGATGCACTTAATATTTTATGCTGGTTGCTAATATGCCTCTGGTTAATTTTTTTTTTTTTTTTTTTTTTTCAACAAGTCGGCCGTCTCCCACCGAGGCAGGGTGATATCTTACTATAATATCTTACTATAATATCTTACTATATATTAAAGTATTATTTACTACAGTAATATTTTGCATTGAGCTGTGTGAGTTGAGTATTTCTTTCATACCTAAATATTCGAGGGTTAAGTAAATACACCCGCAACAAAGCTAAAATTAAAAAAAGAGAGAAAAAGGCCTAAACTATTGCTCAGGTTTGAATGAAATTTTGTTTTTAAAATTAACTCTCAGCGCTGTGTGAAACATAAAACAAAAGTTGGCAAAATTAGCAGGTAACTGTTGAAATTTGCAATACCCATCGACGATCCCCTTAAAGAAATGATAGAGAAGTGTAATAATGTTAGTGGAATTATCAAAAATATGTTAGGTAAAGGCAGACATGTGCAGCTAATATGGTATTTTAATATGGCAACGTTTCACTTTCCAGAAGCCTTGTAATGGCTTGACAAAACTCCTGGAGAGTGAAACATTGCCATATTAAAATGTATTAGTTGCGAGTGATAGAGAAGTGGTACTAGATATTCTTGACAATCGACTTGGGTACTGCTGTTTCACCGAACACGCTATTATCCTCCACCCCTCGATGGCTCGTTATCTTATGTTGTCATGTAGACACTTTTACATAAGCTCGCATGGGGGTTCACAAAGCTAGTCGATTATGATCAGTATAAAATATCAATGGCTGCCAAAATACCTCAGTTTTCTGAAGACCTTGGAATGAGTTGACACCGCAGCAATAGAAAGCTCATCTTGTGATATCCGGTTATCCTTAAGATATCCTACTCTGATCTACTGTAAGGTCCAAGCTTTATGGTATTTTTGTGAGGCTTGTAACCTAGAGTTTATATACAGATTATAAATAATTCTTTGCCTGAGAGCACCAAAAATAAGTTAGTTGATTTTATTTTTATAATGTGTATTAATTCGTGTGTGCATATTTTGGAATTATTTTGCATATATTGTATTATTATTTGTTGTTTATGCTTCAGAAAGTGTATCAGAAATATGTATATTTATGGAGAATAAAAGTCACAGTGCCGTGGCTGGAACCACTCACAACCCACAGTTTCGACTGGGAGCTGTCTTCGGCATTTTAAAGCGTCTTGTAAGGTTTCTCCGAAATTGTGGATGAGTTGTGATGTGTATATTTCTATTTATTGTCGGGTGTATCTCATGCACAAACTTTTTTAATGTCTGCTGCTTGAATTTATAAACATGACGATGCAATCACAAATAGCATTTAAAATCTTCTCCAAAGAATACATGTGTATGGTAAAATTTGTATGTATCTTATAGAATTTGATAAATACATTTATGAAAGTGCTAATACAGGAGGTCTTCAATTTACAAAAGCTCTAATTTACACTTTTTTTTTTTTCCTGCATGCCGGTCGTCTCCCACCGAGGCCAAGTGTCCCCCCAAAAAAAGAAAAAATAGTTTTTCTCTTTTTACATTTAGTAAAAAGGGGAAGGGGTTACTAGCACCTTATTCCTGGCAACTATTTTACACGTATTTTTACTTAAAAACGACTCGTTTAGGAACTGGTTAGTTGTACAACCTCTGAGCTGCTGATAGGAACATGTTTGATACACAACCATTGTTTGTATTGTTGTTTTCTATGTAAACAACTTTGTTTTGTAACTTGAAACAGCAGGAATGCAATTCGTTAGCAAGTTGCAAAATCAGGACTGCAGCTTACATGCAACTCCATGTGCTTGCAACTTAATTGATTCTGAGAGAGCCATCGCCATCTGTTCTCTCACAAGTTATGGTAAGACCCAATTCCTACCATAGAATTTAATTTTGGGGGCTATTTGCCAGTATAAAATAGCCATAAATACAGAGGGCTAGCATAAAACAGGGGCTGTCATAATGTAGGGGCTGTCACAAACCAGGGGCTACATGTTCTTGTAATTTTGAGGCCTCCTGTACTTAGTAACTTTGTGATAACAGCACTAGGTCCTATGACACACAAAATGCATTGATGGGTGCTCACACTGTAGCTCTTGAAAATTAACATAGCTGAACCTTTGTTAAATAATATAGCTTTGTTCATGCTCTTTTAAGCTGTCCCTTCAAGGGCAGAATGCCTTGATGCTAATGAAGAGTTCTTGATTTAGAGAATCAGAACTACCCTCCCTTCCCTCGGATTAAACCTGATTACCACCTATTCCCCAAGCTCTTTATGACCCTTATGGGCTTTAACCTTCCTGGAATATGATAATGTTTGAAGCTGTGATGTTTTAAAGTGTGAAACACAAATAACCCTCACATAAAAGAGAGAAGCTTACGACGACGTTTCGGTCCGACTTTGTAAATGGTCCAAGTTGGACCAAAACGTCGTCGTAAGCTTCTCTCTTTTATGTGCGGGTTATTTGTGTATCGTTCCAGTCACGGTATTGTGCCTTTTTTTGTTATTTAAAGTGTGAAGTGAAAAAACATATTGATACACTTGAAACCAATTTAATTATAAGGCAAATACCGAGTGCCAGTACACAATGATATGGTGGTAAACCATCGCCTGTTGTCATTATATTATATGAGCTTAAAAAGACATCATTTAGAGCAGATCCTTATTTATTGATAACATTGTTTTGCTCAGTGTAGAGCTTTATCTCCTTAATACATGGGAGTAGTGCCACTGAATGTGTGTCGCTATTGTATCATTGTAAATTCGAAATATAGTGTAAGTCAAACCAGCATAAAATGAAGAACATCTGTATACAAACATTGGTGGGCTGACAAGAGGAGAGGTTAGATTGCACCATCTATAGTTGTGGGGTGTGTGGAGTGGAGTGCCATACAGGTGGCACTGGTCTCCACACACCTGACAGCTACACATGAAAGCTAACCTCTTTTGTTACCTCACCTGTTTCTGTACATAATGTCAGGTAGTGCCACTCCATGCGATGAGTAAGACACATGTACGACAGTAGGTACCTATTTCACCAATAAAGAGACTGATGATTGAGATACTTGTTCACACTTGGGTACCTTTGTTGTGGAAACATTTCAACAAGTGGCTTCCTCAGTCTGGCACAGAGATGAATGATGGAAGATGAGGAGTTTGAGGTAATCAGTCCTTCAGCCTTGAACCGATGTGTTCAGGCTAAGGGAATGATTACCCCAAACTCCTCATCTTCCACCATTCATCTTGGCACCAGACTGAGGAAGCTCTTATTGGCAAACCATTTCCACAGTAAAGATACCCAAGTGTTGCACAAGAGTCTCGGTCATCAACTTGTCGGTTCTCTGAACCAGTTTTTTTTCTTCGACGAACCGGCCATATCCCACCAAGGCAGGGCGACCCCTGCGTTTCTCTTTAAATTAAGTAATTGTAAAGGAAAAGGGGTTACTATCCCCTTAATCCCAGCATTTTAGTCGCCTCTTACAATACGCATGGCTTATGGAGGAAGAATTCTGTTCCGCTTCCCCATGGAGCTTAGTGTTATATATCATTTATTATAAGTTACTCCTTGTCTTCATTTGATACAGCTGTACACTGAGTCAGAGAAATGTTTGCTCTTCCTACCATATTTGTTAAGAAGTCTTGCCACCCAACATTATATTATCCTCATGGAATACACCTACCATCTGACTTACGACCAAGTCCGGTTCCGAGAAATGGTCGTAAGTCGAACTTTACTACTGAATATCAACAAAACATTTTTGTAATGACTTTATTTTATTGTTTTATTTTGGTATTTCATGTTTTACTTTACTTTTTATGTTGTTAGTACTGTATTTTATACTGTAAGGTTTAGGATAAACACTGTGTACAACACAAATACTTGTTTATTTCCCAGAAATTTGGAATAAAAAACACGGTCATAAGTCGAGTGGTCAAAGTCGAGTGGTCAAAAGTCGAGTGGTCAAAAGTCGAGCAGGTCGTAAGTTGGATGGTAGGTGTATTTAACATAGGCCTCTCAGTAATTTATATCAAAATATTCTTGGTGCATCCCATATTAAACATCCTTTGTTTTTTTGATGAATAAAATGGCATAGGTTCGATGTGTATGGAGGAAAAGGTGTAGATTGTAATGCATACTCTTCTTGGGACAGCATTTTACTTCGTGGAAAAGAATACTTGTGTAAAGTCCAAGTAACTAGGACCAGTGAAGCTACTTGTGGTGAAATGTTGCCTTTAATAAATGTCCTCGACTGTACACAGTTGTTCTTTTACAAAGTTTGTCATTATCACCGTACTATTTGCAAGCAATTTGTCGTGAAAAAATGAAGTTCTCCGCAGAGGAAAATGTTCTCCCAGTAACAGTTTGTTCTACGCCTTACGTCTGTCTTCATGTTACTTGTGCTTTATCATGTAATTTATTTTTGGTGCATCAAAGTGTAATGAACACGTGTCAGTGAGACGGAAAAAACAGTTTTAGGTTTGAATATTTTGACCCCCACCTGAGGTCCTCGTCAGCAGATCTGCTTAAGAGGACCTCAGTTGAAAGTCGACCTATACGGACAACCTATCACTCATTTCCGTGAACATGTGGGTATTGACCTATTATGTAATTTATTATTTATAAATGAGAGTCAGTATTTGAAAATGATACCAATGTACAGTAATCTATAATGATAAGCAACATTCAGCAATATAAAAACAATAGACATATTTCCGGTCTAACTAGAGGCTGTAGAGGTGACGAGGGTCTGTAGCTAGGCTGCAAATACTTGTTTTCATACTGCTTAATGTGGATTATTCTTGCAGATTACCCTTATGGTCAGTATATAATTCTATATATTCATTAATACTAAACTGTTTTCTTGATTTTCTAATTAGTTGGTCAGATGTTCATAAAGCAACACTTTGTTAGGTAAAAAGGGGTTATGTGTAAGTGACGAGATATTTTATTGTGGCAACATTTCACTCTCCAGGAGCTTTGTCCGGCTCCTGGAGAGTGAAACATTGTTGCAGTAAAGAATAAAAAAGGCACGATACCATGACTGGAACAACACACAACCCGCACATAGACTGTGACTTAAGGCAACATCTCGGTCCGACTTGTACCGTTAGCCAGCATTACTAGTTAATGGTCCAAGTGTCACCAATTAGTGTAACTGGTCATTAGCCAGTAATGGTCCAGGTTGGACCAAAACGTCGTCATAAATTTCAATCTATGTGTGGGAAGTTTGTGTATTATGTCGGTAAAAAACCTCATTACGTGCATGTGCACTTCTACTTCGGTAATTCTGCCAATGTTGTTACAAAGTCACATTTCTAATATATTTTAATTTTGTTATATAACTGTTGTAACTTTGAATAGATTTATTTCTCCTTTTATCTTAGGTATAAGTTCATAGTTTTGTTGTTTTTGTACATTCCATTAATTGTAATTGTTGATCCATCTTTGTAATATATCCCAGTAATCTCTCACGTCATGCAGGTTCACTATATTTGAGTTCATTTTGGTTCAGTGCTCTATTTCTACTAGTAATTCAACCAAACGATTGCAGAACATACGGGGAGTAAAAAGGTCACCACGCACACAGCATTCACAACAAAACTGTCACGGTACGCACAATACTTGGAGTAAGAATGTTCCAATACATGCGGTACTGCACTGGGAATGGAACTGTTGCAACACATGTTGAATGAGACACTCGCTATGAACAAAATTCTCTATCACACCACTTTCTTTTAAGTCATAAATTTAAACTATACTTTTATTGAAGAAAAAGTGTCTGCTTGAGCGATTTTTTACTTACTTTTTGTATCTGGGAACCAATAGTTATGTAAAATGGATTTGTGTACTACCTGGCCTGTACTACGCAGCCTGGTCATGGACTGGGCCGTGGGGGCGTTGATCCCCGTAACACCCTCCAGGTATATTGCAATTTGTATGGTGTCGTCAGTCCTGTAAGTCACTTTATTCTGAAGATTGATGATAACTGTTCCCTGTATATCTCTTGCCTCTTTGAAATTCTACTACCTTAGTCACTTCAGTACTAACACCACTCCCTCCCTCCAAAAGTCTACGAACATTTGCGCAAAAAGTTCTCTCACTGAGTCACATTTCTGGTAGTCTACCTTCTACTGGGAGACTTATTTTTTTATACTTGAGTTGAATACACAGTGGAATCTCGGTACTCGAACTTAATTCATTCCAGAAAGCTGTTCGAGTGCTGATCCATTTGAGTATTGAACAAATTCTTCCCAACCAATTTTATTTTTAGTTAGCTGTTATCACTAATGTTCGTAGGCCCCATGGTGACTTGTTTATACAAATAATATACAAAACATCAAAAAATGTGAAGAAACATGAGATAGTTAACAGCGAAGTTTTGGCAGGTTTTGTTTGTTTGGTCGAGTACTGAGCTTTGTTAGAGTACTGAGATTCCACTGTAGTACAGTGGACCCTCGGTTTACGATATTATTTCATTCCAGAAGTATGTTCAGGTGCCAGTACTGAACGAATTTGTTCCCATAAGGAATATTGTGAATTAGATTAGTCCAT